TTTGCTAAATACAAGAAAAGGTGTTTTGTATGGTAACTCATATTTTCTGACAAATTCAGCCAGGGGTATGTAAACTTATAAGCAGAACTGAGAACATAAGAGAACATAATTCTATGCCTGTGCAAAATTCCCAATTCACTGGCCTGAAACAACTTTACAATTCAAACACATAAGCTTACTATAAGACTGTAAAGTTCTAGTAAGAGAGGGTAAGGCTAAGGGACATTTGTGCGACTCTTATTGATCGCTACATCTTATTAGCTGATTTTCTTGTTAACGGACCTTCAAAACAGGCACTAGCAAAGCTATCTGTTTAATCTGAAGCAACAGTTAGACTGTGGAAAAAGACTGCTGGCTTGATTCATGTCACCCAAGCTAAATTTGCATAAGCTTATCCTCTGACCAGGATCTAAGGTCAGAAAGGCTGTTTTGATCTCAGACAATGCATTTAATCTCTACTGGTCTTACGATATACTAGGCCAGTCATTAAAATTTACTTTTCATGATAAAATAAAAGTATCTACGAACTTTAAACATTATCACTAGGCCAAATATTTCAGATTTTTGTACATTTCACAGAGTAGCGCAAAAACCTAGGGGCATTCATCATGCACACAAGAAAAAATGCAAATAGGGCAGATACTGGAGTACTTCTAAACAGGAGCAAAGCTGATATCTGCAGCTGCACAAATGTTAGGCCACAGTTTGTAAACAACCTTGCAACTGAAAGTGTTCAACAAAATCAGTGCCACACACAGCAGCACTGGCAAAGTTTACATCAGTACAGAATCTGACTATACTCAAAGATATGTGTGTGTGTGTGTGTGTGTGTGTGTGTGTGTGTGTGTGTGTGTGTTTTGTGGGCAACATCTCTGTTAGTGAGCTGCCAATGGTATCAAAATCATCAAGTTTCACAAATACAGATTTACTGAATCCAATTTCAATGACAGCATATAATAACTGAGAACTAGAGGCTGTATTAAATTTCATTAGCATCACTGCACTAACACTGTTGCTACTATCATTAACATTAGGCTATATAATTCCTAAAAAAAATCTGTTCCAGGAAAAAAGCAACATGACCATTTTGTAAATATATAAAGAAATTATGAAAGCAGCTAATTAAACTCTGGTTACTAGTGTAACCCACTTATAGCTCCTTACATATAAATGCAAAACAGGCAAAAAATAAGCATGTCATCAAGACAGGCATTACCGCAATAACAAGCATTTCACCCACATTCATTAAAAGAGTGTGCTGACAAAGTATGTAAGGCAGAGCTTAATGTACTATTCCACATTGAGTGCCTGAGCCAAAGAACAGATGAGCTTATGAAAAAACGCTTTGATCTTTCTGCCTGTTGGGGAAAGAGGATCTAACTTCATTCTACAGAAAATGAATCTGGACAGGCAGCCACGGAGAACTTTGGATCAGGCAGGTTTAAACAAAAACAGTCCTTAAAATCACATGTACACCCTGATAAAATGTAATTATCATGATGCCAAGTAGCATAGCTCCTAAAACACTTACTATCTTACCAGCAAACCACAGGCCAAATTTCCAACATTCATTATATTTTGTATGACAAAATTAGCACCTTTTAAAAAATAAATTGTTTTACACTGGGAAACAGTAATGGAAGAAGATATCCAACAATGAGAAATGTTGTTCTACAACACTGATTACATGCAAAGGAGTGCAAGCTGATGTGAAACAACATAGTTGCACGGCCTCACCAAGAAACTATGAAACACCCATAAAACATTTTGACTAGGGGTGCATAATATGATATTTATAAATATCATGATAAATTCTATCGCATTGCAACACAACATGCCTCTCTGTGCTTACAAGTCAGTACTTACAGTATTTGGATATTGTCAGACCAACTGCATGTCTCATTACCCAGAAAACTTGATTAGTCCTGTTTAACTGGATTTAGAGCAGAAAGCTGAATGTGAATCTCTAAATAAAAATCATTGCATTCACAGTTCTTTTCCCCACAGGCTGCCCCACCTTTTCAATTATCAAAGAAAACTAAACATTGCGATGCATGTTGTGTATTGTGAACATGGTCTGAAGTTGAGATGATTTTGCCATATCATTCAACCCTAATTTTTTTATTTACACTGAGCAGAAACATAAACTAACCTAATACACAAAAGGTGGCCGTAAAAGCATCAGGAATAAAGCCATCGCTTCTCACCAGCTGAGAGAAAATGAATAAACCAGTGGCTCTTCACTGAGTTATCATACTCAGTTTTCCTATCTCTATTAATACAATAGCATCAAGCCTTTCTGTGGCAAGAGCACAAATAAAAGAGAAATGACACTTTTCACATTTTCAAGTTTAGCCTGTCACAGTATTTGACAGAAAGGATATTTTCTTCATAAATCTCTCAGCCGTCACTTTACCACCACCTTAGGTGTGGCAATAAAGAAAAGGAGCGCATAACAATATGTGTCATTGAAGGGCAGGGCATTTTATATCATTATACACACCTTTCAAACACAGAATCAGGACAATTCTAGCGTTAACATTTCAGTATTATAAATGTGCTATTTACGGCACATTGTGTACAGGTATTTTGAAAGCTGATGCCATGATAGATTTTGTCTGGGAAAGCATGCAACAATTGTGGACATGGTTCTGCCAATGGAATTTAAGCCAAGAACTCTTTACAAAGGTTCAGAGCATGTACAAAAACAGAGCTACGCTGTTTGTTGGTGAACAAGGCGAATCTTAGACCAACATGCTTTGTTGTCCAGGGAAACACCATTTTCTCTGGGGATTGTGAATATTTTCATTACACTGTGAGCCAGTTAAGTTCCTGTCTTTGAAATATTGATGCAGGAGCACAAAGTGCTCCAGCACACAGAGGGAGAAAGGAAGACCTGAGCAGTGGTTTGTGGGGCTGCAAATTGACTCAACATTAAATGCAGTCAAACTGCTGTCTGAGATGATGCTGAGACAGGTTTATTAGTTAAAGATTAATGATGATGATTTTTGAAATGATGTTTGAAAATGATAAAACGTTTACTTATACTTTACTTTACTTATACTATATTTGTGAGGTAGAAAGGTTTTACTCAGTTAAATGTTTGTCATATTTCTAAACATTTCACTGCATTCTATTCTGCTGGGATGACACTTGATCTGCTTTGCTCTCTCTCACACCTCTCACTTTCGAGTTCTCATTTTATTTTACACCAAAAGGATCCATAAAACAGCTGTCTGACATATGTAGTTCCCAGTGCAGATCTCAGTCACTCAGAACCTGAGTAGTTTTTTGACCACTACTTGACCCTACTCAACTGATTTACTGGTTGGCTACATTTACTTCTACTTGAGTCATCATACTCTACCCACCTACATGGCAATATGCTCATGGTTCTGTCATAGAGTCAATAAACGCTTTCATTATAGGCCTTGGGAATGTGATGTCATAACACAGTGCTCCGCCATGGTGGCAGGGTTTGTCAGTCCAGGGTGGTGTCGAACAGTTGAAAAACACAAACGTTTCTATCTGCTTTCCTTGATTTTGGCTGATCTGTAGCTTATGGTCTTGCTAAATATGTTTGCAGAGCTGACTAGCGTGTAGATCTACATGACTAACAGATCACAGATAAGAGCCAAATCAAGAAACAGATCAGATAGGAAGGTTTAATCGGCTATTCAGACGCAGCTCTAGTTAAACAGCACATATGAAGAATCGCAGCGAGAGTGTGCATAAAGTTTAAGCTCATTTTATACTCTAATCATATAGATTTAATGGGATAAAACTTTTAACATTATTTAGTGGATTTATCAAAGGTTGGAAACAGCTAACTTTACAAAAACACTCCATAGGCGCCAGGATGAAACCGCTGCTCCTTTGAAGGTGGAATGGATAAAGGAATTAGAAGCTGGTGAGTAAGTAGCAAATCTCAGCATTGTGGTAACATCTGTAATTATATTATTACCATTACCAATCAACCAAACTAAGGATTTAATGTGATTTTCAAATATTTATGTGTTGAACATATCTGGATTCTACAAGTCAAAGTGCACATGCTACACAGATGGTGTAGTAAAGTATGCTAAATAGTAATGTTACAAAACAAAAGTAAATTAGAGTTGGGCAATACGACAATATCATTATTGTGATAAATTACATCACAATATGTCATAATATGCTTTTCTGAGCATATCATGGATATCATCAGTACTTAAAACACCTCCCAACTGCATGTTTGATTAAAAAGAGAGTATAATCAGTCCTGTTCAATGGGATTTAGTGTAGCACGGTGTGTGAAATGTTGAATACAAGCAATCGGGTTTACAGTTTTTGACAGTATTTTTAAAATGTGGCACTGCATTGGCTGTTATAACTTAGCAGATTTCAGTATTATAAACATGGTGAAATACCGTGTATCGTAAAAAAGCTTCCTAAGTATCACTATGACACATTTTGCCATAGCGCACACCTCTGGTGCAAATAAGCTCTTATAAACTATATAAAAGAGTTCTGATCACTGACAGCGTTTCCATGCAAGACAGTAGCTAAACGTAAACGTTGATTTTTTCGATTCTGTATTAAAATCGTTACATCCTTATGAGGTAAAGTTATTATTGAAAACACAAAGTAACGTTACGCCAGTCACAGGGGATGTTAGCTAGGTAGGCTGCCAACTTTTTCATTCAGCAATTCAGAACCGAAGAATACACGTTTACATTCATTAAGTCTGGACAGACTGACTCATCAACGTGAACCAGAGACTAGCAGCAGCAGCAGCACCACCAGTCGAAGCTAGCTAGAACCTAACCTTCTTATCTTACTTAACTAGGTAAATTACACCAGCATGAGCGTCTCCGTATGAAAAGCAGTCAGTCTAACGTAGTTTGAATTTGAATGGTCGCACAAGCTCGTCTGAATCAAGTACGGCACTTCCACACAGAAACGAGGCGACAGCCAGCCAGCCAACGTTAAATAAAGTCGCTACTCGCTAGCCTACTTACCGGTGTCCTATCAGTGGGGTATTTCGATGTGACTGTCGCCTAGCAGTGCTGCTCCTCCGTCTGGTGCCGGTGGTCTTCCACAGACTCTGCACAAACCCAGCCGAGGAACCCGCCACACCACAGTCTCATAGTAAATCAAGATAATCAATAAAACCCCATCGAGACCGGTTCCTGTCGCCAATGTATCACATGTAGAGGGAAAAAAATCGGGTCAAAAATAATATCCGCGTGCAAATAGTCGTTTCGTGGCTAGTGCTGAGCCGCTAGCGCAGACAGACTGGCTAGCTTTGTGGTTAGCTTCCACCAGCCAGCTGTTTGTGCTGCGCTTCCTGTGGTGTCTACGTGCGGAGAGCTTTGAATTAACTTTCAGAAACGACAGCCTGTACCTTTCTGTTTCTTCACCGGCGTGTATCTTTTTTCTTCAATGCAAAAACGCGGCTCGCATAAACAAACGCCGTTGTCAGGAACAATCCGCGCGGAGAGCCACGCGCACCGCCACTCGCAGCGGAGACTTTCCCTCAACATTCGAAATCGTGAGCGCGCCTGTGGGGTTTGGGGGGGGGCGGTGCGGTGGGGCACTCTGTGCGCGCCGCCGACGTGACGTGAGCGCGCAGGGTGATTAGAATGGCGCAGATGTCCGTACAGTGGCGCTCAGCGGTACGCGTTATTTTTAGCGCGCCGTGCAGCCCAAAGCCGAGCCAAAGCATTTCTAATCTGAACACTTTCTCTGCGTGGAATTATGGGACACTTAGCCATCATAATTAGGCTGGACTAACAGCTGTTTATAGTTTGCTGATTTTTTAAATACATTTTAGTGGTTGTTACACTATTTGTACAATTTACAGGTTAGTGAATATGGAAATCTCAAAATATAATAGTTATAAGTTAGTAAAAGTTAAAATATTAAAATGCGATAGGCCAACATTTTTCTGAATTTCGCAAGTCTGAGTAGGGAGGGGGTTTAATTCTATGATTTTAAAGGTAATTTTATGAAAATGAAGATGAAGAATAAGAAGATAAGAATTTTATTTAAAGGAAACTGTAATGTGCACTTTCACTTTAATAAATTTGTATTATTTGCCCAGTTAGACATTTTAAAGGCCAGCTTCCCAGACAAGGAGTAAAGGAGAACGCCACCAATTTTTTCAAAATGTCTGCATAATTAAGGATTAAGATGTGAAATACACCGTTCTAGAGAAACTTACACTACCTACTCTAGAGTGAGAAATGTTCACAGTGGTGGTGATAGGAACCAGACGTCTGAAGAGTTTAACACTTCTAAAAGCTCCTTCACAAAAAAGTTTTTACACAATTTGGTTATGAATACGCTGCCTAATGCCTGAGACATTGTTTTACAATAGTTTTGTGATAAAGTTTTGGCCTAAAACATTTTATTAATCCATTTCTTTTAATCCATTTATGGCAGAGGTGTACATGCAGGGCGCTGTAAAACAAAATAGTCAGATTTACCACTATTTTACCATCTTTAAGGGAAACCCACCCTAAGACTGCAATAGCTTAAATGGTCCAGATGAATGAATGAAATGGAATGAAAAGAAATTAGCCTATGTATTATTACAAAATGTGTTCAAATTAATATGGATAATAGGAAAAGGTGTTACTTTACTACTAAAATAACAGTTTCATTGTACAAATGTTAGGACTAGATATAATAAACTATAATGAAGGGAAAACCTAGGCTGATATGTATGTATTTGTGAATGTACATGCAGTTTGTTTTATATGGTGGCCATGGTCAACTATGTACCACATATATTTTGAAATATACTCACTAATATATTTTGTTTGAAATTAAATTTGATACCAATAAAATCTGAAAGCATCAAAACAGTGAAACCTGGCCATTTTGTAGTCTTGAGGTGTGCGTAAGGGTCAATTTTGTTATTGAAGTGTAGATGATTCTTCACATTAGGAGATATGGGATGTTAAAATTTTGAGAGAACATTTTGGCTGGAGCTTACATAACAAATGTAAATACTACAGTAGCCTAAGAGTAAACACTCACTGCAGTCAAAAATGTGCAGGAAGGAATGACTCAAACAAATATTGTGCTGGACTAAACAAATCAAAAGTACAGAAAGAGACATTGTTTTACAATAGTTTTGTGATTAGGTTTTAGCCTAAAACATTTTATTAATCCATTTCTTTTAATCCATTTATGGCAGAGGTGTACATGCAGGGAGCTGTAAAACAAAATAGTCAGATTTATCTCTATTTTACCATCATTAACATTCAATTTAAAAACTCAGACTTGTAGGTTCACGGTGGTTTTCGATAGTGAATAAAAGGGCTATATTTGTGTTGTAGACATTGTGACCCCTGGTTACTATCACTGCCATTGTAAAGACGTCTGACAACTGTGAATGACTTTGTTTACATCGCAACGACAGAATGCAAAAAAATTGTAAATTCAGTGGAATTTCCCCTTAAACCCAAGCCTATGTTCTCCTTTCAGTGGTGCATCTCCATTCAGATGGGTGTGTATTCTCAGACTAGGCTTAATCCCTTTAAGGGAAACCCACCCTAAGATTGCAATAGCTTAAATGGTCCAGATGACACTCCTGAATAATGTTGAATCTTTATTATTCTTTAGGAGCATTTAGCCTCAGTATTGGTGATAAAACACCTCCTTTAAAAAAGACAAGGCAGAAAATGATCAACTCTATGTTATTATATTTACATTTGTTTCTTAAGATTTTTCCCTGTTCTACACTGTTGTTAAAATACAGTCTAAGATTGTATGAGATTATGAATTATTATAAAGGCTCACACACATAAGCTTCTGTTTTGATTCTTTTATTATATCAAAATACAAAACATTTCTGAAGCAGAGTAAAGGTTACATGACACTATAGCATCTGAGCATGTCAACTCAATGAGCTTTGGAGCATGTGAAATAAAGGTAAACTCAGCATTTCTGAAGTAATAGCTCTTTCTTTATCAGGGCTACAAGTTTCAAATTACATGCCACGGTATGAAATTATAAGTCAATATGACTGACCCCAGTGACATTCCCACAGTCTGAGTCACTCCAGGCTACTACTGCACTGACACAGCTGACTTAAAATACATGAGCTTTCATTTTTGATAAAGGAGGGATTTCAATGACGAAATCTTTCATTCTTCACATTTTTGCCCTCTCTTTACTGTTTTCACTAACCGAAAGAAGGTGGAGAAAGAATGGTTACAGAAATGGCCTTTTGGCTTGACCTTAATTAACTGGCTATGTCAGCCTGCACAGAACAAACAGATGGAAAAAAATGAAAAAAATGCTGCTCAAAGTATAACAAAAGGCAAATCTTTGCGGTCTATGCAGCTCCACAGCATTTTGTTTACCATATATCAACTTTTCTCCATTTAGATTGGAATGAAAAGAAATTAGCCTATGTATTATTACATAATGTGTTCAAATTAATATGGATAATAAGAAAAGGTGTTACTTTACTACTAAAATAACAGAGTTTCATTGTACAAATGTTAGGACTAGATATAATAAACTATAATGAAGGGAAAACCTAGGCTGATATGTATGTATTTGTGAATGTACATGCAGTTTGTTTTATATGGTGGCCATGGTCAACTATGTACCACATATATTTTGAAATATACTCACTAATATATTTTGTTTGAAATTAAATTTGATACCAATAAAATCTGAAAGCATCAAAACAGTGAAACCTGGCCATTTTGTAGTCTTGAGGTGTGCGTAAGGGTCAATTTTGTTATTGAAGTGTAGATGATTCTTCATATTAGGAGATATGGGATGTTAAAATTTTGAGAGAACATTTTGGCTGGAGCTTACATAACAAATGTAAATACTACAGTAGCCTAAGAGTAAACACTCACTGTTACTGCAGTCAAAAATGTGCAGGAAGGAATGACTCAAACAAATATTGTGCTGGACTAAACAAATAAAAAGTACAGAAAGTCCTGGAGAACCAGTTAATAAACAGTAAACATTTCAAGAAAAACAAAAGCCATTCTTTCTCTCTGTCTTTCTTTTTCTTGCATAATCTGCAATACAAATGATTTATTCCTATTATCAGGCCTACACAGAGTACGTGTTCTTTTCGTCACTGACAGGCTTGTTTGCAGCAGTTTGCAAGTTCCACATCTTCTTTCTTGCTTTCATAGCACATTTGTTACACGTCATTTCTAAGACTGCAGTAACAGAAGTTTCTCTTTTGTATGAAATATCATTCACAAATACTTTCAGCTAGGTTTCCGCTTTAATCTGCAGATGTAAGTGTGATGCGTACCACGGGGATATTTCATAAGTGACAGAGTGCTTACAATGAGTGTGAACCAGAATCATCTCTTGTCTAGACCACAGAATGGATCAGAAATAGCACCAAGTCATAATGTGGTCGATGGTATAGCTGAGAAATATGCACCACACTGATGTTTCTAGAAAAGGTTACTGTGAGTTACTACAAAAGCAGTTTGTAACATCTGCTGTATCTCTAATAACCACACTTTCGCTACCACTGCAGCAGGGGAAAAAACAAAACAAAACATACATTTTTCTTTCATAAATAAGACATCTAACTTGGAATACACTTTCTTGACTTTTTATCTTAATACAAAAGTAAGATTTTCCCCGATTTTCTTTTTATATTTGTAGCTATAAATATCTGTCATTTATACATACAGTACACTGCCAAAATATCTCTACTTGTACAGTCTGCTTACTAGAAGAATACATATTACACATATCTTGCACTGTGCTGCTATACATATTGCATGTGCCCCACACCTCCCATCCGTCAAATGCCACTGAAGTCAATGGGATGAGACACAGTAATCCTGTGTAGACCGGTCATTGACTTAAACAGCATTATAGGACAGCAATGCATCGCTGAAATGTTTGTGATAAAGCAAAGAAAAAACATTCTGCAGGTATATAAACTGGTGAATAGTATAAGCTAACATTACAATGCAAAGAGTGAGACAGTTCACAGTTCAGATTCTTACACAAATGGGTACTGATGGCACAATAAGTAACTTTCTTATGCTGTTTGGGCCATTTAGAAAGTGTTGCAAAACAAAATGTGCTATAAATCTGCAAAAAGAATGTCTAATATTGTAGTCTAATTTATGCATCAGTCTTAAAATACTATTCCGCAATGTCAATGAATTAATTCAAAATCAGCCATACATTTTACCCTCACATAAGAAAAAACAAAGCATGTTTATGACATTTTGCAAGAACACTTTCAGACACCTGCATTTGTGCACTATCATAATTCATCTGTACTATAAACATCTCTCAACATGTATTGCTAAAAGCAGAGCTGCATATGAAAATGAAATTAATGAAACGCTACGCACTACAAGCAAACAACTTCTTTCCCCCCCAATAGTAGATACCGCCATCCACTTTGGTTTGTAATGAATCTTTCTTTTTAATCACTGTGTCGACTCTTTAGCTAATTTGTAACATCATCATTCACATTGTAAATATCTCAAAGTGAGGGCCTGCTACATATTTCACTATACAGACCATAAAATTACTCTTTTATCACTCATCCATCAATATCCACAGTGTGCAACAATATCTCATATACAAAAAATATATATTGCAAGATGTTTTCTTTATTTACACCTTTTGACAAAAGTTCTATTGTTTTGTGTTGTGTATGTGTGTCTGCTGTACGCTGTTGTCCTGATAATTTCTGTGTATTTCCTGCAAGTGCCATTTTAGGACAGGTTGTTCCATACCCCCCTCCCTCTTTTTTTCTCCACATTGTGCTGATAGCGCCTCCCTCTCTCTCTCTATCTGAAAATGTACATCAAAATGATGAGCAGCATGATACTCCTTTGAATCCCTGATGTTCTTTAAGAGGTCAACTTTTTGAGGAATAGTTCAGCCATGCATGCCACTGTTGCCAACAACAAATGGAAGCTCATCACCATTTGGCATGAGGTCATTTGCTCATTTGGTGACTATTCACTTTCATCATTAGCAATGTTAGCATTGCTGACTGAACAGGCAATTTGCACGTTTGACATTTGTGTTGATTTCAAGAACTAGCCAAGCATTATACAGGTGTGGTTAATTTTCGATAAGATATACAAATGGTTTATCGCAGTCGGGAAATTTGTAGTCTTTACAGATAAAATAAAGCCATAAATATGTCATGGCTGATGTCATATACTGTCATGAGTTGTCATGACAGATTTTGTTCGATGTCATGCAACCATTACTGGTAATTGTCATGACCGATGCCATAATGTAAAGCTTATGTCACATGCTATACACGGTTAGCTCTTATGAAATCACACATTGTTACATCTCTTATGACAATTACCTTTAATGATAACATGACACTGGACATCTAGCATGACAGCATATGACCTCTGCATGGTATAGCTATGTCAACATCATGTAGCAGGGTTCAAATAAAGAGTTACTGAGTAACGAAACCATTTGTGACATTTACACAACTAGTCTTTACTTGCTCCAGCTGAGAAAACATGTATAACTCTAAAGAACAGCATGATTTTGTCTCCTAGTTTGCCTTTGAATGTATGTCAGATAAACTAGACCAAATCAAATCAAAACCAATCAAAATGTGGATTAAAATGTTACATGATTAAAAAAACCTAAAAACTCCCAAAAGTACTGGCTAATATGTGTGTTTATCTGCAGTTGAAAATCTTAAATCTACAGTATTTTGATAAAATTTTGCAATTTTGTGTTAAATTTGTGGTGGCAAAAAATAACCATAGGCAAAGTTGGCAGTTTTTTCCTCATCATATTATCTCACCTTCTCTATCATCGCTATAGGTGATCTGAAAAAACACAACAAAAAAGGAATCTACTGCGTTCAGGCAAACCAACAACAGGCAACTCTGCACTCATACTGAAACACATCTGTTCTGGATAGTAACATTTAACAAAACTGCAAAATCATGCAAAACATCTACCTGCTACTCATTATGTACATGTACGTCTGTTACAAGAATTTTACTGTCAAGTCCTTGAAAGCGTTGACTAAGTTTCTGTCAATAACAAAACGATGCTCGCAATAATATTAAAATCACTTTCAAACATTTCAGTGCCCTGATCTGAAATGAAATATACATTTGACCACTGAATATGTTGTAGATGACACTGAGGTTCATTGAAGATAATGTAATGCATCCGGTTTAATCATTAATTAGCATTTTTATGTTATATATATATATATATATATATATATATATTTAAAGAAAGAAAAGAAGTATAGTGTAGATCTAAACTAGACATATCAATGATCCATATCAATAAATGTGTAATCAATGGCAATACAGATCTGCTCATGAAATCCTCATCAAACAATCAAATTATATGCCGAGAAGTCGGTTACCTCTGAGCTACATTCTCACAAGCATGGCATCTGAAAAAATACATGGGGATGGTGGGAAAAAAGCAAAAACAAAGCGAAAAATGATCCATCCTCAATCAAAACAAAGACTCAAGCTTTACTAAGATGGTTGTTTTATTCAAAATTATGCAAACTCAAATGATGGATTGAAATGGAAAATGTTCCTCTTGAAATATACGGTCAACAATGTAGTATCATGTTTGTTCTTTGTAAACGTATAAACGCCATATAAAATAAATACAATGCAATAAAAAAATGTGTTCAACTAAATTAAAGATCACCAGCGTCATTGCCACTCTATGACGGCTACAGTGCTACTGAGTGACAATCAGTTGTGAGCTTAAGGTGTTCACTTAATCACACTCTCAAATTTCTTTTATTGCCAGTTTTATTCTACACTGTTCATGGGCCAATATTTAGTCAGCATTAAGTAGGTCTCCCAAGAGTTTCCAAACACTTCTTATATGACTGTTGCCCTGCCACAGCCTAATTACACAAGACATGATGGTGCTACAGAGAATATTGTTCAATTTGTGATAGGGCAATCATCTTCACAAGTTATGTAAAGGAAAAAATATATTTTCCACTTGAATCTGTAAAATGTACTAGATAACTAACAACAAAATATTCTATATGAGTGAATTTTTTTCAAACGCAGCATTTTTTTTTCCCTCTCTTCTTATGTGTTTCTGAAGCTTAAAAATGCTTTCATGCATTGAAACCTTCATGGAAAAAGTAATATACAAACACACAGTTAGAAACTGAATCCAAAATATGGGAATATGTTTTATGAATATATTTAGTTGCGTGCATATATTGTCCAATTTATTCAAAATTTCTAAAATTTTATCATACATTGTGCAATATATGCTATTATATACAGTCTTTTGACATAGTACAGTACATTCCTAGTATTTTGGATATTCCTCTTGATATTACTCTTTTGAAAAAGAAACAAAAAACAGAATATTTCATTTAGGTAATTAAATAGTTCTATATCTTTTACAAAGCACCATAGTTGACAAAAAATTTGCCCAGATAAATGTTTTGTAAATACTTGATGAGCACATCTTCAAACTGAACTACATGACTGACCTATTGTGAACATCTATCTAAACTTGTGTTGCCACTTCCCTAGCTTTGTGAGTAAGTCATCTAATTAGACAAGTTACTTGAATTATAAATGGAACAGCAATTACAGATATTAAAAATCAGTTCTTTGCAAAGACTGAAAACCATTCACACAACGTAAAAAGTGGCATGATCTCGAATGACAAGTGTTTAGCTCAGTACAGTATTTCTAGAAGCTTCGAATGCTGTATAACTAGTTGACAATCAATCCCCTGACCAAGGCAAAGTGAAATCTCCCATAGGATTTTCCTTTATCATCATCATGCCTACATATGGACACTTCTAGTGCGCTGGTCTCAAATAAGCAGAAAATACATCAAAGGACTTCCTGTATAACAAAGTGCAATCACAACAAAATAAAACTGCATCCGCACACCTTCCTTTCCAGCAGGCTGTTTCCTTACTTAACTCAGCCTGAGGTACAAGCCTGCTTCTTCACGTCCAGAATGTTCTCACTGTAGCTAAAAACGTAAATGCAAGTTGGTGATCACATTCAGCACCCAGATGTAAGTCAAGTATGAACGAGGAAATCCTTAACGCTTAAAAAAAATGCATTTTGATGGACATTAAACAATGGCCCTCAAGATGCCACAGCAGACACTGGTAGGTTGATCCATCATAGATGCTGGATGATGTCGAAATCCTAAAACATCAAATACTGTGGTGTTAAGGTGACAAGCAGCAGCCACGTCTACTGCTGGAAGATCAACTCAGTGAAATTAAGCATCAAGTGATTACAGTCTGAAGACTCCCAAAGTTTTGATAGCACCTGAAGCAGGCTGTTGAGAATGCCTGTATTGTACTGATTGGCCATTGGGAGGGGCTTGTTCATGAACCAATGCAATCGATTTGCAAAACCCAAACGCAGGTTAATATTCACCCTAGCTTAATGTTGGAGTTCTGTTAAGATGGCCGAAGTAGCAGCAAACCATTCAGCCAAGCTATGCCCTCGTGAGCTTTTCAACAGGGTCGGCGTAATTTGAAAATAAGCCCACAAGTGCAGCACCACCCCTGACCACCACCAGCAACATCCCCCCTTCATACACTGGCCACCAAAGTGAATGTACATGAGCCCAGATATGCCTGTCCTGACAGTGAGAATACATATTAACCGGTAGAAAAGAAGCACCCTTGGATGATAGATACACAATAAAAAACTTTGGCCACATGGGAAAGCCATGTCATCTCATAGGCATTTCCCCTAAGGTCTTTCCAGAGGAGACAGACCGGCGCTGGGGTGCTGCTTCTACTTGCAGCCAAGTTAAACCACGAAACAAAAGGCTACAAAAATGGCCCACAAAGGCAGTTGGTTTACTTTTTAATAAACTAAAAAAAAAAAAGAGAAACAAAATGGAGGCAAGCATTCAGGAGCCCTATTAAGGCCTAAATATGCCTGTTTTGGATAAAAGGGGAGTATCTTGTATAGATGAAAAAAATACTACAGTATAATATGGCACAAAATCCTATCCTCCTCACAGTACAGTACACTTAATAGTTTTATTGATTAAGGAAGCTGTAGTATTTTTGGCATTACTATAGTATGTTTTGAATAGGAGCTCACAAAATCAATAGAGACTAAATGAGCATCAATTTAAAACATTACATCACAGTGATTACCAAGGTTTTGCTCCGATGCAAAAAGTTGTCTACTGAAAAAAACCCAGAACAATGCACACATGTGGCCATAGCAGCTTCTGGTTGTAGTGGAAATTAGTCTGTGTGCATCTTTGGGTGAATGTTTTTGTTCCCTTTTCAGTATTATTTCACAATTGACAGCAAAATAGAACCTCTCTTTACTTCAGCGAAAGAAAAAGCATGAATCGTTGTGCTTTGAAAAAATGAGGCCCTCCGCCAAACTGGAAATACTGATCATTCCACGTTCCTGGAGGAGCAAATGAAGGATCCTATACTGTATGTGAATGGGAAAGACTAACAACACTGCACACACACAATGCTTATTATGTACTTGTAATACATAATACCATCATGGGCATAACAGTCAGGGTGCCTTAAGACCTGAAACGTCTCCTTTCTTTCAATGCAAATACTCAACCTAACAAGAAGCAATTCTCAGAAATGCAAAATGCCTGAAATGTACACTTGGAATGAAATGTCTGGAACTGTTTGGAGGTTTATTGAATGTTTGTCTGTACAGCAGTGTTGAGCTGATGAGTCTCGGGCGACTCTGAGGTATATTTTGTCTATGTGTGAGAACCCTGTGTTCTACTGAGACAGAGTGAGACTACTGGCAGAATGGGACAGGTGCAGGAATGTGAGGAGTCATGAAAGCTGTAAACTATATGCATGAGCCTAAACGCTGACCCTCCTCTGCTGGAAGAGGAATAAAAATCTCAGGGACTCAGGGACCTAAAAAAAGAACTGCTTAAAACTGGACCAATTCTTTATTTGAGGTAATCTTGCACTGGAGCAAAACCTTGGAACACTACCAACCAGCGATATCTCATGATAAAATAAGTGAAAAGAAAAGAGTGGAGCGGGACATGAGGTGTGGATACGGAGCGTGGCTGGCTGAGCCAAGGTGCCGGGATAACTCAGTGCAGGATCAGTGGGCTTTGGGAAGAGTGTGGCCTGGTCTGTGGGCCCTCACAGGAGAGTGGCGTGGTCCGGGTCCGCTGTGTCCATACTGGCCAAAATGGCCTTCTGGTCCTCTCGCAGCGGGCGGCGGTACAGCAGAGCAGAGAAGCGGGTGTACGGGTCCTGTCTGGTCAACTTCCTCTTCTTCTTGCGGAGGTAGAGAGCTTCTTCTGGCGGGAGGACCTGAGAGGTGTGGGGCTGCTGGGTCTGAGAGGGCGGCACACCTGCAGCCAATGAAGAGACACCAGTTACTGAGATATAGATGTGGATTAAAGATGCATCATGATATAACATGATTATATCAGTAGGAAAAAAACAATCTAAGAAGAAGGGAAAAACAGGGCAGCACACTGATGTAACATTAAGCATGGTTTGCAAGAACTAAGTGGTAACTTCACAGCTAAATGATATTTGAATTTACAATCCCGTTCCCAAAAAAGTTAGGACAGAATGCAATGATGTGCAAATCATTTAGATCTTTGTGCGCTCAGGCAGCAATGCATTGAAAACAGACACAATTATGTAGTGGATCCACAAATGCAAGTTAAAACTATACCATGCAAAGAAGAAACCATATACACAGCACCCAGAAACTCTGCTGCCTTCTCTGGGCCCGAGTTCATTTAAGATGGACTGAGGCAAAGTGGAAAAGTGGGGTTTAAATTATTTGCACATCATTGCATTTTGTTTTCATTTACAATTTGCACCGCGTCCCAACTGTTTTGTAATAATCTGACAATAGAACTCTAATAAAAAATAATCATGTAAATGTCTTTACATCTACTCCCCACAAACCTTTGCAATCAAGCTGTATTATCAACATGCTGGCAGGTCAAGCTGACATATTTTTCTCTATGATAGCTTTTCATATGGCATGAGTATTAGGGTATGGATGTCTAGTTATTTTAGTAATGACTGCATTAAACTTGATTTTATCCACTGCATGTACAGCACTCAGCTTCTATGTAAGCAACACAGATCACCTACTTGTATGCATAACTTCTGCATATCTAGGGAATATGAGGGCTGATCAGGGTTAAAAACACCCCTAGTAGGTACCGGAATGTCTTCTTGACTACTTCTGATACTGAACTTCCAGGACATCTATGCACAGGGCAAAAGTTTGCATCTTGCACATGCATACATTTAGGTAAAGTCGAGTATACTGCAGTCTTTATTATGCTTAATTACATGTCTGAAGGTCAGTGACTGAGATAATTTGGAACAGTGGCTCCCAACCTGGCCCTCAAGGCCCCCAGACGGTCCATATTTTCCTTCGCATGAGCTGTGAGGTGGGCTGGAGGAAAAATGTGGACTGTCTGGGGGGCCTGAGGACCAGGGTTGGGAACCCCTGGTACAGAGTATGATTAAGATTATTATGAATACTGGTTCTGGTCTGATACTGAAGAGTTTAAGAGTTTTAGAGAGTTAGGATGCAGAGAGTAATCAATGAAAGTGTTCCCAGAAGTGCTGCTGTTGTAGAAGTGCTGCCAAGAAGGAAGTTCAGTAATGCAACACACTAACTACTCACACCTCAGTGCTGTGCTGTTGCTGCTTGGCCACAATCAGCTGATGTATATAGACTATTTGATTGAGGCCTGCAAAACAGGATGTGCTTTGTCAAATATATGGGAAAATATAATTCCAAAACCAGGGGATCTGTGAAGAGAGAGGCTTCCTTAGAAGATTATAAGTACAGTATATGTTTGACAGTGACTATTTCAGTTTTGTGCAAGATATAGTGACGGGCATACTGCTGAAAACTGTGTGAAGACTCACCTATTTTCCTTCTGGACTTAGAGTTGTTATTGTTGACTGCAACCTTCTTGGCTTTTTTGACTCGTTGGTATCTCAGTGCTTCTATCCTCTCAGACCCTGCAGGGCCACTCGGTGTACCTCGACGTTTTCTGTGCAGAGGACAAAAAGGAGGCAGAGCTATCACACAGAGGAAGAGCTGTCCCGTGGCCCACTATTGATAAAACACTGGCCACATATGGCTTGGCCCAGTCCTTCTTAAGTTACTGCTGTGAGTGCCAAGCTATAGGCGCACCAGATTACCTATAAACCAGTCCAAGACATCCACACTGTCAGAATCGGGCAGCTTGTTCAGCATGACAATATGGAGCAAAAAGTTATTTGAGTGGAAAGAGAGGTATACTTAAAGCTTTAGACGTGTACAGTTGATTTCTCTTGAGCTACAGTATGTGTTTTTCTGCATACTCAGAGCAATGAGGAATAAATCAGTAACTGAAATTTTGAAAGCTGAGCTTGATATTACTCTGGAATGTTAACTGGACAATATATTAACTTGAAGGGGCATACCTTAGTATAACAACATAATAAGTATCTGTTTAGGGGAAAAAATTAAAGAAATTACTGAATGGTATAAAATGCAATCATACTAAGAAATAGGAAGCCTAATATTGACTAGTACAGTATCAATACTGTAGCAATAAAAGTATGTGTTTTCATTTTTTGTAATTCATTTCATTACAACATTTAGGTTGTATTCACAGTCTTCCCATCCAAATACAATATGGAGGCACTAAAAATGGCAGCCCACATACTCTGCCACACACACACACGCACACACGGCTCTGACGAGGCATGGTAAACAAGGAAAAGAGCATTATAGAGGGGCCGTCCTTCTGCCGGGGCTGCCAAGAGAAATTAAAAGCCATTAGTAGAGGGGGGAAATCACAGCTGAGCGACAAAGCATCATCAAAAATGTGTTCATAGACATGAATACTGTCTACAATGGGCTTCACCATGCTGACAGGGGGAGAGATGGCGGGAGGGGAAAATGGCTACTTGGGAACAGTCACATAATGAAAAATAAAACAAAGCACTCGGACAACAAATGTAACAAGAATTTAATCAGATATTTGTTTGTTTTTCAACTGAAGAGCAATATTTAGCGATGGCATGCATGGAATTTTGCACATGGAACAGAACTTTAAAGGGGAATACTCTGAAAAGCACTTCACTGGGCAAAAGACATAAATTAAAAGGGTTTGCTGTTTGGTGCCCAGAGCCAGTAGTATTTTCCCCGTTACTTAGGTAAGTGCATGAGCTGCAGTATACTTTTTCATATGAGGGTGTTCTGCAGTCTAAACATACAAGTGCAGTTTAATACAAACATGTGCTTTTGGACTATGAATCATGTGCTAGAAAAGGGTAAATATATGTCTAAAATGATTCCTGAACAAAGCACTTACCCAAAATGAATTACAATATGCAACTCAGTCTCATGCTTGAAAAGTCCAGAAGGTAAAACTGCTTGTTTCCTACTTTGATGCTGAGCATTAATTCACAGCCAACACACTGCAAACGCTGCTTATAGTGTAATCAACCATGCAACAAGATTACAGTGAACATTCTCCATTGTAAACGTAGAGGCTCCACTCTCACAATGTTGCTTATAGGACTTTCAGTCACTTTTATGGACTTAATTTGGGGAACTTCCCAGCAAAAAAGTAATCACAATGCAAAATGTTTTTACATCCTTTAACAGTACTTCACATTTAGCAAAATAAATAAAGAAATAAATAAAAATACAGCCTTTAAAGCATGAGGTTGTGTTGACCACATGATATATGCCAAATTTCCTAATCAGGAATAACTAGAAAATTCACATATGCATACCAGGACAAGAATGCATATAGGATTCAAGACTGCAGAACTTAAATGCGTGGCTACCTATAAAACAAAAAGAGGAAAAAAAAAGAAATCAAGATCCACAGACTCGTATTCCCCTTTAAAGAACAAGGTGAATAAAAGCCCCACCTGCTGCCCCCCCCCTTTCAGACATGGATCCAACCCTTACCTATTGCGGTGTAGAGGACCTGGTCACAACAACGCTGCCCAGATAGCTGAGATCAATCAAAAACAAAGCAGGTAAGACTCCAGGAGTCATCAAGAATGACCAACTGCCCCTAATTGAGATGATGACGACATTGCAACAGATGAGAGCAGACAGTCCCTGCAACGCGATTCGCCCAACAAGCCTCCCCCTGGCAGTCAGAGCTGGGGTGACCTGGGTGATGGGGGGGTGGGAGAAAGGGGGGTGGGTGTGGGAGAGGCAATCATGCAGTCAGATTATTAAGGAACAGGAGAGGAGCCCTGTGCCTGCTGTGCTGCACACGTCTAAGTCAACCTCCATTTCATACATACTGTAAGTCATCCTAAAAAGCCTGTAGTTAGTCAAAACAGGGCTTCATTTTGACTTCATTTTGAATGATCAATTGGGATGCACATGTGGGGTTCCTCCTGTTGGGTGAAAGGCAGGGTAAAGCATGACACAGAATGGAAAGGCTTGGGTCCAGTGGTGGTGTCCCTCTGATTCCAGGCTTTTTAAGGGGCTTTGTTACTGCATTTTAAATGGACTTAAAATGGCACTTCTCCAGAGACTTAGCCCCAAAAGGTCTGTCACCATATCTGTGAAGCAAATAATCCATCCTGCCTTGGGCTGCTGTATACTGTCCCAATATCACAACTCAAAGAACTTTACTTTGTTTTGGTCGAAGACAAGTGTCTTTAAGTGCTTCACAGACCTTATGAATGAAATTTGATGTCTGACATGAAAAGCAGCATTAGTGAGACTGAGAGCTACGTTGCTGTAAAGCACAAATCATCTATGTAGAAAATGATTTTGAATGGTTTGGAAAATGTAAGGCATCTAGGGCAGTTTAGCAATGAGCACATTATTTTCAATGCAAATATTTTCTTTAGCATACATTGCTAAATCTGCTGTACTTTCATAGGAACTTGCTAAATATTTTTTCCTCAACACATACGAGCAAATGACTTTTTTGAAGTTTCAAATATCAAATTTGGCATGTTTATATATGTTACTGCACTGAGGCCTCGAGAAAGTCTTATTTGTGTGACTCTGGGCAGATGGTACATTAGCCATTTGATTTGTTTCCTGTAAGCCCATTGCACCTACCCTGAAGCTGATAACTGGGGCGGAGAGGGTTCTGATGGAAGGATCTCCTCCTCAGTCCTCCTCTGGGTTGGCATCTGCCCAAAAACGTTGCTGCTTTCCATGGGGGGTGATGGGGACTGGGACGGATAGCTTGTTGCTGAGGAGGCAAAGGCCATGTGGGAGCGGTAGCTAGGACTTGCCCTTCGGCTGCCCTGGCCTTGAGCAGGAGAGGAAGAGGGTGAGGACCTTCTAGAGAAGGTGACAGAAGAGGGGGGCTGCAGGGTAATTTCAGACATCTCAGGGGGGATTGGTGGCTGGACAATGCTAGGACGGGGCCTGGGACGCACTACGATCTCTGGTGAGCCCTCATGAGAGCTAATGGGGCTTTGAGTGAGAGGTGAGAGACGGGAGGGCTGGAGAACCACCATGCTGGGTTCCATCCTACGCGGCTGCCTGGGGCTGAGTCTGGGAGTTAGCTCATACCAGCGCGTATCCAGGCTTCCGAATGAGCTAGGGCCAACCATGTGAGACGTTGGGTCAGGGTAAGGCAATACCGGCACACCCATACCGTGGCTTGTGTGTCTTAGCTGCCCTAGACTCTGTGCCTCTTGCATAGGTAAACGCATGGCTGGAAGGCCCTGAGGCTTGACTTTGCTGGGAGACTTGCCTGGCCGACTTTTTGGGGCCTCCAGCTGCAGGATACCAGGGTAGGAGGGTAAGTGAATGGAAGCGGGTGGGAGAGCACTAGGAGGGAGAACAAGTGGAGGAGGAAGGGGAGGTTCCCGGTGAAACTGCAACGGGTGGTGGGGTGGGAATATGAAGTGAGGACCCTCAAGCGTGGCGAAGGAGAAATCAGGCCGTTGCCAGATGTCTGGGGAACGGGAGGAGGTATGTGTCAAGGGAAGGGCGCAGCCAGAGACTGCATAGTGTTGAATCTCTCCCTCACTGATCTCTTCCGGTATTGTAGGATGACCAAAAGGACCTTCGAGGTGGTAAGGGGGTGAAGACATGACCGAGCTAAGTGGGCTGGTGTCGGGCATGTAGAAAGGAGGTGGAGGCTCAGGTTCTCCAGGACTGCTCAAATAGCCGTAGAACTGGCCATGGGAAAAGGCTCGGAAATGAGGAGCACCACGAATTTGCCCTGTGGCCTGAAGCCGACTGCTTTCCATGATGGTCATACCTTCCATAGGCCTCTGGAAGCGAGGGCTATAGGCTGGCGGCTGCATGTAAGACTCCTGGCTGGAAGAGATGGGAGAGATCTGATGGGGTCTGAGAGTGGCCATCATAGGAGGCATAGGACCTGGATCATCATTCTCTTCATCGGACTGTCGAAATTCCGGGTAGAGATCCGACTCTTCCACAAAAGGGAAGCCCTCAATACGCCTGGGCTTGACAGGAGTCTCTGTTTCACTGGTATCAATGACAAAGCGACCATCTGGGCCACGGCTGATCAACTCTATAGGTGTGGTAGCCTCAGCTTCATGCTTAGAGACACTGTATTTCTTGCTAATTATTGCTCTTTTGGTCTTCTTGTATAAGGACAGCTCTTTCTCCTTGGCAGGACTTGGAGGAAACTTCTTAGCTCTCAAGCCATCCTCAGAGGACTCAGATGGTGGTCCAATGGAGCGGACACTCTCCGGGCTCATCTTTCCTGAAGATGACCTGAGAACGACAGGAGAACAGTTTGTAGCAGCATCTTAGTCAAACTGATTGACATGGTAAACAAGAACACCTAAATAAGCTTTAAGGCATGTGACATTCTTTGCATTTCTCAGATGGAGCGGGTACCCAAATCCTTGAAAAGAAAATAAAACCTGGTTAGCTAGAGCTAATCAATGGTCCAGGCAATGTGTCTCTGGTGTATAAAATTTTGTTTATCCAGTGATCACCAAATGTCAAGAAGTCATATTTCAACCACTAACCATTTCGTGCAATACAACCCAGATTATTGGCGTTTACCTATCCTCGATCTAACTGAAAAAAGAAGAACTTTACTCAGCCAGTCAAAGAAAGAAATATATATAGTCACTTTTCCTACAAGACAGATTATGAAACTTTGGTGTGAATGAGAAAGATGTGCTATCCTCAAACCTTCAACTTGGCTTTGAACTAATAGGTTTTAATTGTTTGTTATTCTGAATAACCAGTCAGCATCCATTACTATTTTTCAGTGTATTGTACACTTTATTAGTCATTTCACTCAAGTGAATTTTTGCTTTAGGTTGGAATATTTTCAGCTTTTGTTACAATGTAAAGATTGTACTTAAGTAACACATTTTTTTTTTTTGCAGGTTCATACAGGACTGGTCAAGTGCATAGTCCTGTAATACTGTGTGATCCTAGAATTCTAGTCTCTTAACCTTCTTTAGGACCCAGATAGGTTTAATAAGTCTGAGTGAAAGCCATCCACTCTTCCAATAAAATCTCTCCTTTCTGGATGCCTTGTCATATCTCTCTGCTAAGACCATGTTGTTCAAACATCAACATTCTGTGCTTTTATTGTAAATTGTGCTTCATTCTTTATTAGTCCAGAATGTAAGAATATGAATAGAATTACAAGGAAAGCAAACAAACAGGTGCTGTGCTCTCTATGTTTGTAACCAGTGTATGCCACTGTTCTCATGTCTCATGTCTACATGAGGAAATTAACACATATAGTGCTCATTTTTAAGAAGAAAGAAATCAGATTCTGGGCTAAGAAAGTATTTATTTGACCAAATGAGACATAACAAGCAAAAGCCAGAAAACAAGAGAGAAAATCTGGAGATTTTAAGATCCATAGTATTTTTGTGTTTTGCAGTAGTAAAATAATACACATTGTCGCTGAAGCTGCAGTTCCTGCTGAATCACTACAGCTTGTACATGTGCTTTTAATGGCTGCAGTGACGGAGCTGGGTTTCCACGGCAACTGCCTACTGATGACCAACTCTGGAGGCAATGACGTCATCCCTGCTTCTAGAGACAATATAATGCACCAAAGAGGAGGATTCCTACTCGTCGACAGAGATATGCTTACACACAAAATGGAAACAAAAATAACAAATCAATGCCTGCCAAAAGTATTTACAGCCACTAGACTTTGTATGTAAAACAGATTTGCTTTTCAATAAGCTTGTGCTTTCCATGCGGCTTAAAAATATGTCTTAGGCAAATAACAAACAAACAAACAAACAAATAAATAATAAAAAGAAATACAATGTTGTACACCTACCTATTCTGTCTACTCAACCTTCTGCCTGATTTGATGATTGTCATAAGCTCGTGGCCTCTGGGCAGATGTAGCCACAGAAACCAGCTGTACTAATCAAGTCAACTGCATTGATAAGCAAGTAAACCTAACTTTGGGGATACATCTGAGATATTTGAATGATGTTCCTCATTCAGATACTCTTCTGTGCCTTCCCAAAAGATTCAAATGAGTCAAGGTTGATTTAATTCGAGTTTGAATAGGAACAGATGTGAATACTGAGAAGTGTTTCTTCTTCATGGAAAGAAAGAAACCATGTAAGAGCCCTGATGACAGTGTAACTCACAACTCACTTGCATTGGCTCAGTCTTCAGTCTTAACACACTACTGCCATTCCAGTTAATATGGTATGAAACATTTAACATGGTAAATTGAAAGAAAAGGTAAGATCACTTGGCACTAAACATTAACTATTGAACAAGCTCACATCTACTACTACTGTATTTCACAGGGTGGAGACTGCTGTCAGATGTACCGAACAAGCACACGTTCCATATTTATATGCTCTGTAAGTGAGAGTGATGAGTAAAACTTCAAAATTACATCACCAATAGTTCAACATGAAAGAAAGAAAGGAGTAAAGGATTTGACGCAGGAATGTATGCTGCTGTGTGGTCACGCTCGAGTATGCAGTGGTGTGTTGGTCACAAAGAGGCGGTTCAGAGGGCGCTTAGCAGCGAAATCTGAAAATCTGAAATGAAGACCGTGAGGTGATTAAAACACGAGACATATTGTTTCAATGTGTCAACATGCAGTACTGTGTAAAAGTCAGAAAGCATCTATCATTTATTTAATTTCCAGTCAAAATGGCCATTAGGTACAAGTTATTCATTTTTCACAAGATATGAGGAAAGGGAAGGTCAAAAGAAAATGAATGAAAAAACTGGACTTTCCAAAACTGGAGTTTAAGATACAGAGAAAATGAGAGAAAGTGGTAGACCACTAAAACTGTCTCTTTCAGATAAACAGCACTTAAAGCTTTCATCTTTGAGAGATAGAAAAAAATCAAGCTCCACTTTTGCTTCAGATCTGAAAAATCCACAGGAGTGTCTGTCCATCCTTCCACTGTGAGAAAACGACTCATTGTTTGAGTCTGAAATGATGTGTAGCTGTCAAGAAGCTGTTACTGAGAAAAGGACACAGACAAGAAAAACTGCACATCAAACAAAGAATATGTTGGTGTTCTCAGAACAATGGATCATATCAGAGTCCAGATCTGAACATCATTGAATGTGTTTGGGATTACTTGGATCACAAGAAGCAAATAAAGGTCTAAGACTGAACTTTGGAGGTGTGGAAAAATATCCCAAAAGTTTTCTTTCAAAATTGAAAGAAAGTCTCCTTAAAATAATTAAATACTAAAAAAAATATATTATCTTTAGCACTTGAGGCTTCTTTGTAATTTTCTGTTAAATAGATGCTGCCTGCTTTTCTACCCAGTGGCCGTTTTGACTGAAATTTAAACAAAAGGGTGGTCTGAGATTTTAACACAGTATTGTACAACCCTATTTCCAAAAAAGTTGGAACTCTGTGCAAAATGTAAATAAAAACAAACTGCAATGATGTGCAAATAATTAAAACCCTATATTTAATAGAAAATAGTTGAAAGACAACAGACTGCGATGGACTGGCGACCTGTCCAGGGTGTATCCTGCCTTCCGCCCAATGACAGCTGGGATAGGCTCCAGCACCCCACTGCGACCCAGAAGGATAAGCGGTTTAGATGATGTATGATGTATGAAAGACAACATATCAAATGTTGAAATTTTATTGTTTTTTGAAAAATATATGCCCATTTTGAATTTGATGCCAGCAACATGTTCCAAAAAAGTTGGGACGGGGGTAACAAAAGGCTGGTAAAGTTGTTTAATACTAAAAAAAAAAACACCTAGTGGTTAATTGACAACAGGTCAGTAACATGATGGGATATCAAAAGACCATGCTTGAGAGGCTGAGTCTTTCAGAAGTAAAGATGGGGAGGAGATCACCACTCTGTAAAAGACTGTGCGGGCAAACAGTGCAGCAATTCAAGAATAACGTTTCTCAACGTAAAATAGTAAAGAACTTTTGCTTTTCATCATCTATGGTACATAATATCATTAAAAGATTCAGAGAATCTGGAGAAATCTCTGTATGCAAGGGACAAGGCCAAAAACCATTATTTGCTGGCTGTGATCTTTGGGCCCTCAGATGGCACTGCATTAAAAACAGACATGATTCAATAGTGGAAATCACTGCATGGGCTCAGGAACACTTCTGAAAACCACTGTCTATGAAAATAGTTCGGCATTGCATCCACAAATGCAAGTTAAAACTCTAAAATGCAAAGAAGAAATCATATATAAACAGGATCCAGAAACGCTGCCACCTTCTCTGGGCCATTTAAAATGAACGAGGGGAAGTGGAAAAGTGTCCTGTGGTCCGACAAATCATGGACACTGTGCCGTCTGGGGACCACTCAGCTTGTTATCAGAACACAGTTCAAAAGCCAGTATTCATGATGGTATAGGGGTGCATTAGTGCACATGGCTTAGGTGATGCGCACATCTGTAAAGGTACCATTAATGCTGAACAATATATACATGTTTTGGTAACATATGCTGCCATTCAGACAATGTCTTTTTCAGGGAAGGCCTTGCTTATTTCAGCAAGACAATGCCAAACCACATTCTGCATGTATTACAACAGCATTGCTCGATAATAAAATAGTCTGGATGCTAAACTGACCTGCCTGCAGTCCAGATCTGTCACCCACTGATAACATTTGGCATATTATGAAATGAAAAATACGGCAAATGAGACCCCGAACTGTTGAGCAGCTGAAATCCTATATCAAGTAAGAATGGGAAAAACATTTCACTTTCAAAACTACAGCTATTGGTCTCCTCAGTTCCTAAACACTAAACACAGAGTGTTGTTAAAAGAAGAGGTGATGAAACACAGTGGTAAGCATGCCCCCCGTCCCAACTTTTTTGGAATGTGCTGTTGGCATCAAATTTAAAATGGGCATATATTTTTCAAAAAACAAAACAATTTCTCAGTTTCAACATTTGATTTGTTGTCTTTGAACTATTTTAAATGAAATATAGGGTTTAAATGATTTGCACATTATCGCATTTTGTTTTTATTTACATTTTGCACAGCATCCCAACTTTTTTAGAAATGGGGTTGTATATTACAAATGAAATACCTATGTTATAGAATTTACGATTTGGCTGCAGGCAGACGTGGGCTGAGTAGCCTACACCTCTACTCAAGTAGACATATTGTTACAACTTCATAGTTAATTGCACCCTTGGTAAAGATGGTTAAAAAGAATAGTGAAAAAATGTCTTTGTGGTTCATTCCAATCTCAATTACAAGCTCAATCTCACACTGAAAATACAAAAGAGGAATTGAGAAAAAACGTCATAATTATTGGCTTCCCAAGGAATTTTTATGAACAACGTAACTGTATAATGTTTCCATTTATATTTCACTTTTTCAAGTTTACCTGAGTATTCAGGAACTTTTAAGATGTCATCCTTCACTTTATGTTTCACTGGGGTATAAATTTGAGGAAAGACAGAGGGTAACATAGAGCCATGCCCGCTGTTAGGGCAATAACTAAGAAGTTTAAAACAACCAGAGCTGTAGTGAATCTGCCTAGAAAAGGATGCACATCTATTTTGTCAACACAACCAGTAAGGTGGAGGTTAATCATCTCAAGCTTCATAGGAGATGACCATGTGTTGTTATGTTGGCAAAGGCAGGTTGCACTATGTACTAAATGTTGGGCAAACAAGGGTTTTTTGTTTTCTCAGACTAAATTTACTTCAGTTAAAAAACTTCTCTCCTATTTTCAGTGCAAGATCGTTTTTTCATGGCCTGTTTGCCCCATCAGTACCAAGGGAGCCAATAATTATGGAGCTGACTGTAAAAAGTAGAATAAAATAGCTACCAAAAACTGAAACTGAACACACAAACTGAATGTTTTAATTTCTGCTATTCTTCTATACCTTTTTGGTATAGAATAAAATGTTAAAGCTCAGACGTGAGGTGTGAGAAAAACAGTTCAGGTGCCAAACCAAAACCGAACGAAAGAAATCAGACAAAATAACAAAATTAATTAATAAATAGGAATGACTAAAGTGTAATTAAGTAAAAGGCAGATTATTCAAAAACACTTGAGTAGAAGTAAAATATAAGTAAAAGCATTATCATTTGAAAATAAGTAGAAGTACAAGCACAAATTCTGAAGAACATGTAAATGAGTGAATTGTCTAGCTATTACCCTAACTAACCAGCTAGTACCCACCTCTGGCTGCAGCCTATACAACAGGTTATTCAAACCAATGATACGATGATGCATACTTCAGAACATCACATACGTTTTCAAATCTATTAATCTATCATATGTAAATACAATACACATATGTGTGGACAAACTGCCCTACAGTTTGTCCACACATGCAGAAGCACACACTTTTAGTTAGGTGCAATAACACGTTTAATATGTAGTCTTGAGCAAAGTCAGCTATGTTTCCTAAAATCTGATGATCAGACTGTCATAAACCCTTTCATTTCTGCACAGCTTGCTCAAGGACATCTACTCTGTAGTGATAAAATTACAAAGAAATAGGTGGATGCGGAGAAGCGGCAGGCCAGCCAGTGAATCAAGGTCAAAGGTCAGCAAGGTGCGTGCTGGACGTGCCCCAGAGAGGCTCAGCCAGGCAGAGCAGGAAAGGCCTCACAGGAGGATTAAAAACTCCCCCTCCAACCCCTCAGTCTCACTCCCTAATACCATTCAGAATCCCGCTAAATGAACGAAATAGCATGTGAATCATGTAAAAACATGCTGAACATATGCTGTGTATGTCTTGAGTTGTTAGCATGTATGCCTACTTTGCTCCTACACTCACTGGCCATTTTATCGGGTAGACCCATCTCGTAGGTGCACTTTGTAGGGTTACAATTACTGCCTGTAGCCCATCTGTTTATGCACAATGTACCACCTGCCCTCCACTCTGCTCATCAATCGAAAAGGATAACTTTAGGACCACCACTTACTGGATATTATTTAGGTGGTGGACCATGCTGAGCACAGCAGTATGACATGGCATGGTAGTGGTATGTTAGTGTGTTACACTGGTACAAGTGCATCAGGCACAACACTGCTGCTGGGGTTATTAACACTGGTAGGTACATTGGTTGGTGTGTCTAATAATGTAGACAGTAAGTGTCCACAGTGTTAAAACGTTGCTGTTCTGAGGAAGATCCACTGCCCAAATAATATCTGGTCAGTGGTGGTCCCAGGGCAGCCCCTTTCCACCAATGAACAGTGTCTGATAAATTGTGCAGGGACAGATGGGCAACAGTCATTGACTATAAACCTTTAAAGTGCACCTATGTGGTGGGTGTTCCTGATAAAATGACCAATAAGTACAGAGCCAGTGTACATAATAAACTGGCACTTCATACAGTGTGTGTCAGCTACACGTATGATAAATAACTTGATTCCCTGTTTTCTCTGTTCCCCTTACATAAGGAAGAAGGATCTGTCAAAGCCTTTCCCTGTAAATAAATCATTACGTCAAGCCTTTATGGGGATTCCATGACGAATAAACAAACTGAAGCTGCACTGCCCTCTGCTGGACACATATGACTCAACAACTGTAGCAGTGGAGGTCAGCAGGCTGTTCAAAGCCAGATGTGTGGTGTGTATGTGAGACAGACGGGGTGGAAATAGGCAAGGGTCTCCTGTGAGCGCAGCAGGGGTGAGGGGGATCCACGGCCCGCCACAACAACTGTGCCCAGCAGCGTACATGCACAGCAAGATCCCCACTGCTGAAATAACTTGTGCAGTGTTCATTCAAGTTCAGTTGCACTCTTAAACATAAAAGTGCCACAAAGGGTTCTTTGGAACTTTTCAACTTTTCAGTGAATCCTTTTAATGAAATGAACAAGATGTGTGTGTAAAGAAAGCTTAAAAAAGCTCCACATAATGTAAAGGTCATCTACACCAATTAAATGTTTTTTTTTCCCCTAAACGTTATGTCTTAAGCTAGAACCATTTGGGAACCTTTATTTTTGAGAGTGTGGACTTGAATGAACACTGTATATGTTAACTCAACACTGGGGATTTTGCTGTGTCGGAGAAGCGGCCAAGACAGCTCACACTGCTGCAGGAGGTGCAGGCACTCACTGAGGGCTTGAAGGTGGGGGCCTGTAGCTGCTCCCATCCGTCCCCTCCCAGAAGGGCTCTATACCAGGCAGGGGGGTTAGAGGAGTCCTGCGGTGGAAAACATAACAGAAAAAGGAGGAAAAGGAAGGAGCAGGGGAGGATGAGTGCCATCAGTGAGCTTCATCTTCCATAAAACCAACAGAGCAGGAAAGAGGGAGAGTAAAAAGAGAAAAGGAGCTACACAAAAAAAAATTGACTGAGGGCACTTTGGGTAATTTTGCATTTATAAAGTAATAACATGAATTATATTCACATTGAAGATGTGAGGGCCTGGGCTGATATTGCTAGTAGCAGTACATGTTGGTTAGACTGAGCTGTGAGATTCTATTGCTGTTCTATGTACTGCAGCTTTAGAGTACATGATCTTAATGGACATGGCAGACACTGTCCAACAACATACTGACCTTTTAATGTTGGCAGTAATTATTATTTGTTATTCTGTTTCAGCATAAGAACTGACCAGCCAAAAGAAACCGTGTGGGAAGCATGAAACAGCAACATCAAGAGAACACTCTAGACCAGTGAGAATTAGAGAAATTATTCTAGAACAATGTCAAAGAGGGCAAACATGAAAGAGGGAGATCACTCTATAGAATGGTGTAACAGGGCAGAACATTCCAAAGCAGTGTGAATGGAGAACATTCTACAGGAATGTGAATGTAGGAGAACATTCTACAGAGAGTTGAAGCATTTAGTCATGGTGTTGCGGATGTTTTGGGCGCCATACCACATCTGAAATCATCTGTATAATTCAGCTCCATTAGGCAGTGTATCTACTGTTTGGTGATGCACAGACTAGCACCACTTTTTGTCACAGTTTGCAGGAAACAGAGAGATCATGTTAAAGATCCTCTCGCTATTAAGTAACAGAAGGATTAGGGAAGATTATCAACTACTTTAAGTGCAATGCACTGAATGTAGGAGAACATTCTACAGGAATGTGAATGTAGGAGAACATTCTACAGGAATGTGAATGTAGGAGAACATTCTGTAACAGTGTGAAATGGGGAGAAGATTCTAGAACAGTGTAAATAGGGAACCTCATAGAATGGTGTGAATAGGGCAGAACCTTCTACAGGAGTGTGAATGTGGGAGAACATTCTGTAACAGTGTGAAATAGGGAGAAGATTCTAGAACAGTGTAAATGGGGAAACATCATAGAATGGTGTGAACAGGGCAGAACATTCTAAAGCCGTGTGTATGTGGAAGAACATTCAAAGACAGTGTGAATGGGGAGAACATTCTAGAACAATGGAAAGAGGGAAACATTTAAGAGCAGTGTGCATGGCTCTACAGGAGTGTAAATGTGGGAGAACATTCTAGAATAGTGTGACTTGGAAGGAGCAGTCTAAAACATGAAATAGGAGCAGTCTAAAACATTGTGAATTAGTGATAATCTTCTAGGGTGGCATGAACAGAGAAGAACATTCTAGAAGAGAGTGAATGAGGGAGAACATTGTGAATGGGGCAGAATATATTGTGAATAGAGGAGAATATGCTACAGTCTCCCAACAAACACTCACGGGTCTGGGTTTGTTGGAGAATGCTGGGTCAGTGTTCTCTAGGCTTTAGGGCTAAACTCTTGGCTCGGCTAATGAGTGAACATGCTGTTTGAACCTCCTGGAAGGCAGCTAAAACCCCTCTGAAAGCCCTGGTCTAGGTTACAAAGGCTGTACGTTTTGAGAGTAAGTGTGCTTCAGAGAGTTGAAGCATTTAGTCATGGTGTTGCGGATGTTTTGGGCGCCATACCACATCTGAAATCATCTGTATAATTCAGCTCCATTAGGCAGTGTATCTACTGTTTGGTGATGCACAGACTAGCACCACTTTTTGTCACAGTTTGCAGGAAACAGAGAGATCATGTTAAAGATCCTCTCGCTATTAAGTAACAGAAGGATTAGGGAAGATTATCAACTACTTTAAGTGCAATGCAAGCAAAGATCAATCCACTTAACACCAAGATGCACCACTGCATATTATGTGATATTAATAAGTATGACTGAGGGCAGAGAATTCTTCAAGGGACAATGAGTATCTTTGTGAATCTATAGCAATCTACACATTTCTCTTGTATCTGTACAACTGCGGTAAAATTATTCTACAATTCTGACAAGGCAACAATATTGCAATGCTATGCACAATACGCATAGTGAACAAACAGTCACTAATAAACAGATCATGTCCAAAATGAGCAAAGTTGCAGTCATTTTCACTAGGGGAAGAAAAACATGTTAGAAAAGAAAGATTAGGACATTCTGAATGCAGCCACTGTGAATAGAGAGAAGGAATGCTGCCTTATCTGTTTTGTCCTTCACTTCGGGGACAACCGTTACAAATAAATGAAGAAAAAAAAAACACAGTCTAAAACACTTATTGGTATGTCTTTGTCATGTGTTGGTATATATATCATGGTAATGTAGTACAAGCTTAGAAAGCATTAAAGGGACACTCCAGCCAAAATAATAAACGTAGCCATCTGTTGTAAACATGCTAACTGACATCCTACAGCTGTGTCGCAGTAGTTTCTAAAGTAAGACTTTCTCGATTAAAGACTTGAAAAAAAAACCCTTCTGATGACATAAAATTAAGGTGGGGGGAACATTTGCAAACCATCTGCTCTGGGATGGATTTTTAGAGATGAGCTGTTTTAAGTGTTTCTTTTTTTCATTAGCTGGTGAACACAGAAGGAAGAAAGATAGCTAACGGTATGTCTAGGAAACCAAATGTCTTGTTGCAGCTGTAGAAATGCAGTAACTTTAAATCATTAATATCGACAGAGAGAATGAATTATTCAAAACTCAGAAACAACCCCTCAGATTTGCAGGACAACAAACTCAAAGTAAGCAAAGTAGCTACCTGGCTATTTAGAAACCTTACCTCAGTTTGGATCCTTTTCTTTGTCTGAAAACATAAAAACGTATCTCTGGCGTCTATTTTGTGCCAAATAATAACTGAATTTTCTGTTTTCTTTATAGTTTGGTTTGATGACCGAGGCATGACTTTCACTAAAGCTAGCTTGGTTGTATTTATTAGCCTATAGATGAGTGGCTAGGCAGTCAGAATTGGTTGACACCACAGGGATTTGCAATGTCTGTATGATGTGTATGAATCATAAATGCTAGGATTGTAGTGAGAAAACACAGATGAACAAAAACATGATGTTAAATCATACATTCTGTCAAACTTCTGAAGCCTAGGTATATGATGCCGTGCTACATAATACTGTCTGTCATGGTAACATATTAAACTCGAGTGTCAGGCCGGAATGCCCCTTTAAGAGGCAGGGTCAAAAATGAAAGCATGGTGAAGGCCATCTTTAGAACCACAGCAAAGCAGTGCATGCACATTTACTATGGTAACATTTCAGCAAAACACTGTTAAGACATTATTTAATAAAAATGAAACATTTTCTTCTTATAAATTAATGCACATTTCATTTATGACAAATGGCAATGCGTCTTATGCTGTTAACATTCATTTCTTAAACATGAACAGCTTTTCATCCAATGCATTTGCAACAGTAAAATGTTCCGCTGTGTTTGAAATGATATATACAAACCTTGATTCATGGGTTGTTATCTTTTCATTATCAATGTCATTTGGAGATTGTGTTTATAGCATTCAATCATTTTAATGCAAACACACTGTGATAAGTTCAACCAATTTTCATTTGAACAAAGATTCTTCGTTTCTCTCCGCTGGTCATATGATTTCGTTATGAGAAGAACTCACATGTGAACCATAATTAGAAAACATTTTTAAAGCCCAGGCCAGTGTGTGTGCAATCCACAGCAGACATCAGCGCAAGGATAAACCAAACTAAGTCGACAGAGTCACCCTTTTTGTCACCCATCCTTGAATGTGAGGTTACAACAGCTGAAAATTATCCAGTAATCATAATGATTCACTGTATCCAACTTAAATCGACGCATGTTAAAAAGAAGCATACTGCAGGAACATAAAGAGCATGAGTGTACTCTTTATTGTGGGATTATTTCAATTTGCCTGTAAAGTCTGTAATTAAAACTAAAACGAATGCCTTAGAATAACCAGCAAATCAGCTCCACAGGAAAACTGAGATAAGCCTGGCATCCTGCTCAAAACGCAGGGCTAATTAAAGAAAATGCAGTGCTGATTTATTTCTCTGCACTGTATTTACACGCATGACAGCAGTACGCCATTAATTCCCAGTGTAGAGCACATTTTTTTTGCTTGTTTTCTGTTTTTTTTTTATTCTGCTGTGTAACTACAAATACTGCACACCTGGATATAAACCTATTTAAAAAGCACTGTTGAAAAATCATGTTTACCCCAAAGCTCTTTCAATAACAACAAAACTGCTTGGAAAGTGGCATCTACAGGATACAACATGCAGTTAAAAACAAATGAATATGATTTGTACACAGTCTCGATAACATTGTTTCTGAAAGTATTCCTGTAGATTTCTATGATTCTGAAATGTTACCAACATTTAGACATTGTACATTAGCATTTCCTGCCTGAATATATTTTACTGATTTCCCATGTTTGGTCCAGTCCTGAGGCTTTAATATCGTTACTCCATGAGTGAATCTAATTTAGTATTTAATGAGCTACTTACTGTATGGCAATGTAGAGCAATTACATTCCTAATGTAGTAATTAAGGCAAATATATGCAATAAGCACTTTGACCACTACTGAAAAAATGTGCAACGCTGCTAATGGACGTTGATGAAAAGGCTTGGGCTGTCTACTCTGTGACCACTTTACGTCCAAGAGTTATCACTGACCAGTAATTAGTGACAATGCCAATAGGGGCTCGCAATGAGTAGGCATGTCTGTCAAGTTTGTGGGGTAACACGCCCTACTCATTGCACTGGAAGAAAATGAGGATGTGAGCAAGTTTGAGAGGTCACTTACGGAGTCTCCACGCTTTTTCTGCAGTGTGTTATCGAAAGTGGAGGATCTGGAGGCAAGAACAAAAACAAAATAAAACAATTTTAAAATAAGAAGACGAATTTGCAATTCAAAATTTAGATAAAAACAGCCTCAAGATGTGATTCCTCCACAAGGACGTAAAATTAGCTGCATGCAGAACCAAGTTTGGCTCAACAACATGTACAGTGGCCCCAAAAAGTATTTTGACACTTTAACCATTGGAGAACTTTAATGAATGTTCAGATATTAAGACTATTCTACATAATCTAGATGTATATGTGTATATATGTGAATATTTAAATATAAAAATATCTAAATATAAAAATATGTAAACATTTTAGATTTACGTCCAGATGCCTATATTGTGCATCTTCTATCATGACATGAAAAGTTTGCAAATGACAATGACAGTGGCCATGTCACATGGGAGAGTAAGAATGACAGGGCTGTAGGACGCGGACATTTAAATTTACGCATTTGTCAGACATTTTTATCCAGAGCAACTTGCAATTTAATGAATTATAAAGGCAAATGAACACAGTGTTAGGAGTCTTGCCTAAGGATTCCTATTGATATAGCATAACATGCTTGGCCAAAACACCATATTGCAATTATATTGCTGCATACTATGATTGCAATATGTATTGTGATAAAAACACTGGTGAACTCTTGATGAGTTTTGACCCTTTCGACCATTATTTACACCTTGACTTAATGGAGTTATGAAATTACTGAAGTTTGAGGAAAGACCACGCCTAAAACTCCTCCTTCTCAATTCCAGCTTCCTATAAATACTACTTCACTCCTCCCCCTTCTCCTCTACCTTGTCCACACCTGCACATGATCTTTACTACACAGGAAGGTTGGCCTTCTAGTGACCCACAGAAACCGTACTGAACTCCAGCCCAAAATTCCCCAGAGTTCCCCTTCTCTCATTATCTCATTTACCAAGGTGTGGTCTGCATTCGCAAGTTGGTCATTGGTCAGAATGCTCATAGGACCCAACAAAAAACTGAGTGATCGGTTACAGCGCTCATATGCATATTGCATCCTTTTGCAATTTCAGTGCTGCAAAGCCAATAAGCGATATCAAGAAACGATTTATTGTACAGCCCCAGTGTACAAGCAAGCTACTATGCTGACAGTGTTCCAGTAGTAGTGTGATAGTGAGCAGCAGTGGAGTGAGCCGCAGCATGTGTGTCAGGCCAGGACGAGATGGGAGAAGACGTTTGAACTGCGAGGGCACCACTGACCTCGTCTCCTCTTGAGCTTGCGCCGCCGCTGCTTGTTGACGAAGCAGGCTGCCAGCGTGCTGAAGAGGATGGCTGCTGCCAGGAAGCAGATGGTGGCCACAATGCCCGCCACCACCGGCCGCGCCAGTCCCTCGTCTGGCATGTCTGGCGGGAAGAATTCTGACAGACACAAAGGGTCGTCTTAGGGCAAACGCACTGGCACACAGCACAGAAAAGGCACTTTACAACGAATATGGGCCCTAGCATGAATGTTTCACTAAGATGTGGAGTAGTATTAAATGTCAAATTGAGGATTCTGCCTATTATGATAGGACTTTAATCATGTCGAAGGAAAATTTACTTGAAATTTCTTTAGATTGCAACTTATTAAGGAACATGAAAAACCAAAAGTGCACTCTTCATGAAGAATATTCTTAGAACGCAACAGGTTCTATTACCAGTTTTAAGTGGTGTATATGCTGTATAGTACTTGCAGAATGAACAGGCTGGTTAAAAGCTTGATGTGTTTTTTCCGGCTTGGACTGAGAATCACTATAATTATAGTCCATGTAACACGTAATTAGAAGCTGACTAGGATCTTAGCATTAAGCTAATTTCAGCCAGTGCTACTGGAGCGTAGTATCGTGTAGAACCTGACTGTAAACTGGGGGTGGACGATATGGTAAAATACACATACACACATTTTCTAAACCGCTTATTCTTCTGGGTCGTAGGGATAGTAACATATATAATATTATAATACTTGAAGACATTTTTCTGCAATGTGATATGCATCATGTTATACAGTTTTTCTGAGGTTTTATAAGTTTAAACAGACAAAAAAGAGACAGTAATTCCAGATTTAAAAATACAGTCAAAAACTATGACTACAATAATTTTGATTTTTTATGATTTTTAACATTTCACCTAGTGCACTGCACTAAATCCAATTAAACAAGCCTAATTAAGCTCTCTGTGTAATAAAACACTTGGTTCACTGGGCAGTGTTCTGTAAGTACTAATGATATCCACGATATGCTCAGAAAAGCATACTATGAAGTAATGCGACTTTTTTGGTTACCTTACTGACCAACCCTTTCTGTAAACTCACCGCAGTGATTCTTGATTCGACAACAGGGCATATGGCAATTTCTGTTACTTCTTATCTGTGGAACTGAGTAGTGTAAAACCAACCAGAGTTCATAATCACAGACGTAAAACAGCTGGTCTGAATACAGTGAACCCTGTCATATTTTTGTGGCTATTTGCTTTGCTATATGAAAGTAACAGATTCATATTTGAAACATGTCTCTTTTCTGAAAGGACCATATTCTCTCTTTTATTGTTAATAATAAAGTTATTATTTCACAGACATTTTAAAAAAGTGTCTGTAGAAAGGTCTGTTATTCATCTGTTAACTGTACATATTGAAGCACATTACACCACATTTAGATCTTAGCTGTAATCCAACGGTATATCCAGCAGGGGGCAGTGCAATAACATCAAATATGTAGAACTCTCATTGAATATCTTATATTCTGACCTCCAGCATCTGAAGAAAATGTCACAGTGCAATAAGACTGTTTATCTTCAGTATGTAGTAGATAATACAAACAAAGGATTTAGGAAAATGCACTGTATAAAGAGGTATTTTTACAGTCCTATATGTGTGGACTGTTCTTTACTGACCTGTACTGGAGACCCCAACTATATTACTGGGTTCACTGATGAGGTCTTCCATAACTGCCATAACTCTGAACTCATACCATGCCTCCTGGAGAAACAAACCCAGAAACACACACATAAATATATATACTCTGTAAACAGATAAACTTCAAGTTTTTAGCATCTTAGTTGTAATATAAGGCTGCGCAAAGCCTGAAAGAGACAGCAAGTAAGGTGCAGTAATTACAGGCTTCCCAAAATATGTTGTTGTTTATAAAGAAGGTGCTACCCGGTTCTCGGCCCCCTGCCAATCTCCATTTCTGCTGTTTCAGCTCCTAGTGCTCTGGAGCGGCAACATGCTCTTTTACTGCCCTGTTGGGGCTCCACAGCAGAATTAGATTTTAGGTAAAAAACTAAATAATCCTCCTTTACAGTAAAATAAAGCTCTGCTGGTCGTTTAACACAGTTTTAACACTAAACGGTCTTAAACGCTGGAGGTAATGTAGCCTATATCTGTTAATTCACCCTTAAACCCTGGATGTTGGTGCGCTGCTGGTCACAGCAACACAGACAACAACCTTGCCTAGCTAGTAGCTAACGAAAAGACAAAGAACCTCGATAATTTAGGGATGAATGGAAGACTTATCTGCATTTATAATCACTCCAGCTGTTTCCTGATACGTTTAATCTGCAATGAGAAATTGTAAAACACCAAAAAGTCGTGAAGCTGAAGTCAGTTTAGCGTTCGGATTTTCCCGTTCTACCTTAAATGGTGCCGCAGTTAACTTGCATTCTGGCGCCTCAGGCACCATTTAAGGTGGAACGGGAACATTTGAACAAGAAGCTGGCGAATGAGAAGCTGACTTTTCCTGCTGGATACGCCGTAAAAGCGGCTATAGCTGAGCTAAAGTTTAAAGCAGAGCAAAGTGAGTCAAAATTTTGTTTATAGTATATTTTTTAGCCTACACTAGTCAATCAGCACATACTGAGACATATTTACAGCCACGATGTTAAAATAGACATAAAATGTTGCGGTTTGATTTTTGTTGAAAGGACAACATGTCTCTTCTTAACATTTGGGTTGCCGACCCCTGGTTTAGTGGGTAAATCGTACCCCCCACGCTGTAGACTAGGGTTCGATGCACCCTATCCCTGATAGCAAGAGGATAGTGGACCACTGTCGGCCCACTGATGGCAAAGCTGGCGGTCCGATGGCATTTTGCTTAGTGTTCTCTGGGCGGTCCACCAGTGGTTAACCAGAGTCACAGACAAAATTCCACTCATCATCACTCATTTTCCACTCACAGTCCAATTTACTTTCTTTTCCTTCCTTCTTTACTTTAGTTATGCTTTCTAAATGAGTAGTTTAGTAAGTAATTTTCATCTAGAACAGTGTCAGCAACATTTTCCATAAAATAATTTTATAGTCATTATTTTTTTTACTTTCAGTTGTTTGTAATATTTGTTTAGGTTTATTTTCTAAAATAAAAGTCTGTGTGTATTTAAAATTTGTTTGGGGAGATAAAAAACTAGTTAGAGCTTGTATGCAGGACAGTAATCTGGGTGGTCCGAGGGTGGACCAGCAGTGGCGTACAGTTAGCGGGGTGATGACCTTATCAAGCCAGCGGACCGGTATATGCTTGCTATCTGGGATGCTACACCAATAAGAGTCCTTTTGCAAGACTCGTAACACTACTCTCGCCTACCTATGTAAAAAAGGTTCAAATTGTAAGCTGCTCTGGATAAGAGCGTCTGCCAAATGCAGAAAGATCTAAAAAAATAAGACAATGTAAAGTATCAGTGCCTAAATAGCCTTTCACTTAAAGCATGCTGGGAGCAGGGCTGGGTATTTCAATACCGATACCAAATTCAACTCTGGGACTGTTCTTAGCAGAATTGGCATTAGATGTCTACATTCACACACTTGTCTACAGTCTTTAGAGAGTATAAAAATATGTGCCATCTTGTTCTCTAGATATTAGCATGTAGGCTAATAACAGAAGCATTACAGCTTCAGAGCTAGCTAACATTATGTTATTTAAAGTACTTTTTAATTGATAACTTTAAAAATAGCGATTGGCACATCAATATAGCCTACTATTCCAGTTTACATTCTGATGAACTTGTTGGTCATGTGCTAGTGCTTGATGACTTCATCCTGACCTGAAAGAGTGAAACATTGCTAAATAACACTGCAAATACTGCAGTCAGAATTTCCAGTTGACATAACCTACAGTCCGAGCACATATGTAAATTACTTATCACTGTGTTATTGCAGCCCTTTTGTTGTTTGACCTATGACATGATGAAATAGATGCATTTTCTGTTTTCTTTTATTAGCCCTACATGAGTAGAGGATGAGTAACTGGGGCGATGACTTTGCTTCATTGAATTTGGTGTATAGCGCCACCTTCTGTTTGTCTGGGGTGACGTTTGTGCATGTGTGTTTTAACAATGGGTATCAGACATATCAGTCAGTCAGTCAAGCTGGCAGAATACTTAAAACAACATCTATTTTTTTGAGTACATATGGCGTGGTGGGGCAGCTTGCTGAATAGAACTCCTGAATACTGTGACCTCCACCTGACTGTGATTGGTCCACTGCACAAAGTGGGCTAAGGGGTAAGTATACTATGACAGTGTGCTTGGTGGGTCTTCTATTTCGTTTAGTTCATCATTTGAAGTATAAATCCGGGAACTCAGTAAGCAGCAGTGACTCTTGAAAGGTACAGATACAGACGGTAGTAGTAACAATGCTATTTGTTTTTGTGCTCATAAAGGCCCAACAGACAAAATAATCTGTATTTGTGGGGGCAGAATTTATTTACTTGCTTATGACGTACTTTAGTCAGCCAATCAGGAAAGACTGACCGCTTTCGTATTAAATATGACACCAAATTATTTGATACTCGGTTGTACTGAAATAATTTTGTGAGTACCATTACATAGTATTACATTTGCTGAGAGCAAGAACAGAACAAAACCACACTGTAAGTAAATCTTTCTCTTACATTTAGGTTTTTGGAAACATCTACCTCTCTATAACTCCCCTGTTCAAGCTTTATTTTTCAGATAAATGGATAGAGGACTGTCTGTTTTCATAAACGCTTCCTTCACCTCAGGATATGTCAAACTAAACTGATACAAATAGATTTATACAAAGTCAAATTTGACTTTTAATACCAAGGGGCCTTACTTCAGATAAAATGCAAGCTCTAAAAATAGGTTACAGTGTGACTGACTAGTGAGAAAATGTTCAGCATAAAAGTCTTGCTTTGGGCTTTTTAAAATGACTTTTTAAAATTCCTCATCCTCGCTGTGAAGAATATATAAAAAGTAAGCATTGTGTAAATATGCAGTGTGACAGAGCACTGTGCTGCTTAATCAAACACATTACATCCTGTAAAAACAGATGAATCTGCACATTCTCCACACAGATCTGGGCAACGGTATGAAAATGCCATTTACTTTAAAGCCCATGTATGGGGAAACACATTCTCAGACACTGTGTCTGCTGACATTAGTCTCACATTTACCTGAACTAGATCTCTGGCCAACAGCTCTGTCTCTCCAGCAGGAATTGCATCATCCAGGACTTCCCAACTCTCGCCAAGGCGAAACTCCATGATGTAATGATCAATTGGCGACGTGTGATTGGCTGGAGGGAGCCACGTTAGTAGGACTCCCTGTTGTGTCCGGTTGGCTGTGAGGCACCGTGGTGGGGTAAGCAGCACCAGTGGTTCAGGGGTACTTATAGGAAATACTGCAGGAACGAAAGAGAACATGAGTTCAAACGAATCATTCAGTATCCAACTGGCATCTCTAGCCAGCATCTAGGTGACTATGAATGGCAGTCCATCTACAACAGTGGTCCACATGATAATTTTAAAGCACATAGAACGCTGTCCTCGCCTGGCCAACAAAAGGGTGTTTTATCATTTATTGTTCTAATCTATTTGTCTTACCTAACACCGCATTTTCAATGTTTGTAGTGCTCCACCTTAAATATCTGCCAGACATTTGCAGACATAGTCACTCACATAGCATTTGTATTAGTCCACTTCAAATTAATGGCCTGTAGTTCAATGAAAACAGCACAGAGACAATATATATAATGTTTCAGCTAATCAGCTTCATTGTTTTTTGTAAATATACGCTCATTCTGAAATTGATGCTTGCAACATGTTCCAAAAAAAGTTGGGACAGGAGCAATTTAAGACTAGGAACATTGTGAAATTTTCAAAAAACATCTCTAACGGGATGCAACCACACCTTGATAAAGAAGGAGCATCCAGGAAAGGCCTAGCCCTTATAAGCAAGGATGGGTCGAGGCCCGTGATGGATATCACCACATTGGCTCGGGATTACTTTGACAAACCATTATCAATAAACACTGTTCGCCGCTACATTCACAAATGCAAGCTAAGACTGTACTGTGTACAGTGGAAGCCATATGTGAACAATGGCCACAAACGGCAACTTTGCTGGGCTTAAGCTTATCTGAAATAGGCTGAAGCACAGCAAAAACGTGTATTGTAGTTTGGCCAGTCAATCTTGTAGATTATCTACAGAAATAAGGAAATAACATGAGTATCATCCAGAGTGTTACCAGCATAAATTTCAAAATCCAGGGTTTGTCAAGGTATAGGGGTATATTAGTGCCCAGGGAATGGATAACTTGCCTGTAAAGGCACCATTAAGGCTGAAAGATGTATACATATTTTGGAGCAGCTTATGCTGCTGATGCTGACTACTTGTTTTTCAGAGAGATCCAGGCTTAATTCAACATGACAACACCAAATCACATTCTGCATGTGTTAAAACAGCATTGCTGTGCAGTCATAGAGTGCAGGTGCTAGACTGGCCTGCCTGCAGAAAAAATATGGCACATTATGAAACATAAAATACAAGAACAAAGGCCCTGTATGGTTGCACAGCGGAAGATTTGTACAAAGGAAAAATGGCAAAAAAAATCACTTTTAAAAACTAAATCAATTGGTGTCTCCAGTTCCCAAAAGATCATTAAGTGTTGTTAAAAGGAAAGGTGATGTAACACAGTGGTAAACATGCTCCTGTTTCAACTTTTTGGATGTGTTGAAGAAATCAAGTTTGGAACGAGTGTATACTTTCAAAAAAACAAAGTTCTTCAGGTATAATATTGTGTTTTGTACTTTTTTAATTTAATACACATCTAATTACTGCTTTCTGTTTTTACTAGCATGTAACATACTGTCCCAACTTTTTAGAAGTGACATCTGTATAAGCTTCCATCCTTTAGATGTTTATCTGATACAAAAAAAGGTTTTAATGCAGAATAAAATATTCATTGTGCCTGGCTTAATGATTGGTAAGGGCTACTATAACTAAGCAGACTAACTGAACAAAGTGACTGTTTTCCAGCTAACACTAAAGCTTTAGCCTTTCTGTTTCCTTGTCACATCAAATACAGTTACAAGTAACAGTTCACAAAAAAAATCTAATTTACACATTTTTCCCTTCATCCTAAACACAATCAGTCAAGACATATCTGATGTCCCAACAGCTGTTTCTTTACTTTTGCAGAAGAGTTATGAGGCTAATGCAATAGAAGTCTAGGTCACCCAAAAAGGTTCTTGGTTACATAAACATCCATTACTTTTCAGCTACATGAGCCTATAGACACAGTGAAACATCTTGACACCAAACATGTCCTTGCTGATTGAGTATGTTTGTGGTATGGAGAAAATTGTGTAAATGACATTTTTCTGTAAAACATTTTTTATTTGATGAATTAACTTAACAATAATGTAAATAATGAAAAGTAATCAATTTATTTTTGACTAGATTCCAGGACAAGCATACAGCCAGCATACAGCAAAACCCCTGGTCAAATTACAAATGTGCCTTCTAAATGAAAATAAGACATCCTGTACAAGGAAAGATGCACTAAGAAGTTTGCACAGACCACATTTTATTGTTTATTTCATAAGTGTATTCTAGGTTATGTGTACTTATTTTCCAATCAACAAAACATGAAACATGTCATTTTAACTTTTGCATGTGGCTGTAGGTCGCAGGCACCAAAATACTCATGTGCACAAACTTACCTAGAGTGTTCACAGTGACGACCTCGCTGAAGGGGCCTGTCCCCAGCTTGTTCTGGGCCAGGATGCTGAACTGGTAGGCCGTCTCGGGCGCCAGGCCCTGCACCAGCAGCCAGTGCTGCCCACTGGGCACAGGCATGGAGAGCCAATCATGCGGGCCCAGCTCCTCCCTCTTCACCCTGTGGAGGGAGCCACATGCACAGAAAACAGAGTTCAGCTCTGAACCCCAACACACACACAAACACACTCATACACACACACTCCCTCAGATAACGATCGCCATGTCACTCACAGTATTGATGAAAGCATTGCCTGCAGCTAGACACGTTCTCCAAAAAAGAGAAAGCCTATTTAGCTTGGGGTAAGTGCTTGGTGATATCCAATAGTGCAGAAGAATCTGCCAGCTTCCCAAAGGAACAAGAACATCATGCATCTGCCAGTGAGCTTTACAACAGCCGACACCTAAAAAAGCACGTTTTCATACTGTACTAGTAGCTACAGCTTGTGTCTTTTGTGGGTTGAGGCAATAATGATAATGTGAACCAGAAAAAGTGCATTAGCGTGAATTAGGATGAGTCATGGAATCACAAGAGCTAATCCTGACAGTGTGTAAACACAAACATAATTCCAGGTGACAGACGTGTGCAGAGGACGGTGATCGTGTGTATGATAGGGGCGGAGGCCTGAGAGGGACATAAATCAAAGTGTGCTTACTGTGCGCTTACTGTCAGCATGCTCTCTGCTCTGATATACTGCCCACAGCATGCGTGAACCTGAGCCTTATTTCACCACCGCAGTCAGTCTTCCTGCACAGTCAGGCGGGACACAGGGAGAGTGAGTGGTGCCCTATTCTGCTGACGCTAACCCGTGTGCTGTTTCTGTCGGTTTGTGAGCGCAAGTTTATAATGTTCATGTCAGGGCAGCCTAAGGGGGACGTTTCATGGGTGTATGGGGGAGGTGTGTTTCTATCAGAATCAGTTCCCACTGACAAAATTCAAAAGCTGAAATTATTATTTTTTTTTTTTTACATTTATTGTTCTTCCCAGTGGTAATTATTATTAATTAATAGTTATTTAAATATTTAATTTCCAGTCTAAACTGCAATTAAGTACAAGTACATTTCTTTTCCAGGAGATATTTCTGTAGAGGTTACATATAAGATTAACCACTTGCATAAGAAAGGAAAAGATAGAGAACATGGGAGTCCTAACAAACTATACAAGACCAGTTAGAGCACCAAAACTGGCACCATTAGATTAGACAGTACTTCAATCTTTAAGTGACAGGAGAAAATAAGATCTGAATTAGATCTGAAAAGAATCCACAGGAGTTTCTGTCCATCTTTCCACTGTGAGAACACAACTCAACACTGGATCTGAAAAGATTTGTAGCTGTAAATAAGCCATTACTGAGTAAAGGTTGTTGAGGCCTAATGTTCTCAGAACAATGGACTGATCACCCCAGAGTCCAGATACCAACATCACTACATGTGTCTGAGATTACCTGGACTATGAGAAGTAGAAAATGCAACCAGCTTCTAAGACTGATCATAAAAGGTGTTGAATTTCTTTGAAAAACTAGCCTCTGTGGAATATATATGCCTTCTGCTTCTTTCTTGGTGCTAAAGATGATTTACGTGTACCTTAAGGCCAGACTGGAAACTAAATAAATGATTGGTGGTGTCTGACTTTTTAACTTTACTCTTGATGTTATACAGCTTTCTCAGTTATTTTATCTTTTTTGTTGCTTTCCACTGTTGTCAAGGACAAGCACATTAGAATCATCATACATTTTTCTGCGATGAAAATGGTTTAATGTTATTAAAAACAGTGATTCAAACCTTATAACCATATATATTTTTTATTTCCCCGTAGTTATCCATTCATTACCTCTTATAAACACAGACTGTACTTCCCTAGTATCTTATATCTGTGTGGGTGTCTGCTTGTTGGGGGAGTTGGGGGACATTGAAGGGTTGAATCAATTCATCAGAAATGCAGGTGTACTGCCCTCGAAGTGGTTATGTAGGCTGCAGTAAGAAAACTGAACACAGTAGTTTGAAAGTGCTTAGTGCATTACTCATGATGTGCATGTGCTCACTACCATTGTTTTTCTGTACAAAGGCTCTACACCATTAAAAAAATACTGCTTAGTCATACATGAATATGGGCTGAATAGTGCTTTTTTCCTAATAGAAAGACAGTGGCCTCTAGACCCTTTGGCCCGCGTGTTACCCTGGCACAGTGGTCAACCATCACTACCTCTGCAATGCACAGGAAATGGCAGCCACATGCCAAGGATCTACGTCAATGGGCCTGATGTGGGCTGCTGTGGAGAGGGACAGAAGGCATTTTTAAAGGTTAGGCAGAACGGCCATTCATACAAAACCTTTAAAGTATGAGTCAGCCCCACTTCCACTGACATCTGGCCTACGCTCAGGAGAGACACCTGCTGTGCACAAATCAGACTGGAATGCGCTGGAGCCAGAGCGAGTCGAAAAGGTTGACAAAACTGTTATGGAACTCACTCATCCAGTCCATTCAGGATAGCTCTTCTCTATCATTACTCACATTTTTTGCTTATTTGTTACGCGCAAGTTTTCACTCTTTCTCTTGTCTTTGAATCTACTGTTTATGTGGGCGCTGTCTCATATACTATCTCCACTGCTGTTCAAGGAGTACCCCCAGCCTAAACTCTGTCTGTGATGTTTTATACGACTGATTATCACAGACAACAATTTCTCTGTGCTTAGAAAAGAGCAGAAAAAACATTGACTCAAAACACGCTCAGTAGACAAGTGCTGCCCATTGGCTTCTATTATAAATGAGTTTTAAATCAACAGTTTTTCTGTTCTTTTACTTAGTACAGGGAAATGACTGTCCATAGTTATCAACCACAAGCTACAGATGTGTCAGATAGAGATTAGTTAAAGGAAAAAGCCTTGAATATTCTTTTAAATACATAGCCATACACACTATTGACTTCAGTCTCGCATGGCCTCAAGTTTAATATGTTTCATGTACTGTGGAGGTAAAGCATCCTTGAGCATGTGGACCGAACTACATAAACAAAAAATATGATGAGAATGAAACCGGTGAACTTAGCAAAGAGGTGGTATGACAACCATTTAGAGTTACTGTCACAATGCTCTTGCAGCCAGTAATAGACAAGTACTCAAATCCAGCACTTGAGTAAAACTAGAAATAAAGTATCACTCAAATAAAAGTAAAAGTGCCCTGTTTGTATTTGTACTTGAATTAAAGTACAAAAGCACTTGCTTTTAAATGTACTTAAGGATCAAAAATATTGCAAGGTATTGTAACAATCATCTATTCTCCTCTTGTGTCTGCAGTTTAGGAAATTAGTAAAATTTTACTCCTCATCCAAACACCAGGTGTATCGGGTGTCGGATTTAAAAATACCCCACACCTAACATTATGGCACTTTCTTTAATTGCAAAAGCTTGTCAGAGTTGCCTAGTTATACTTGCTACAAATGGAGTGTATTTAAAGATGCAATGTGTAAGATTTAGTTGCATGTAGCAGTGAAGCTGCAGACTGAATAAACTAACTGAACACCCCTCCCTTTCCAAGCATGCAGTAGAACCTACAGTGGATGTCAGGTTTTCTGCCATCGCCTGTCCTGATTCCATTTTGCTTCTACATGTTTTTGCTTCTTTGACAACAAGAATTCACCCTCTCTTGCTTTTGTTCTTGTGCTAAATAATAAGTATGATCCTCCATTTGTCAAAATATGGGTTCTCAAACTTCTCACAATACAAAATGGTTGCCAGCCCTGGCAGCAACCACTGATTCTTCGTTCTATGTCTTCTAGTGCTGTAGCACCACCAAATTCAAGCTGCTGCTTCAACGTAAAAATGCACCTTTAAGAGAGGGATTTAGTGAAAGGTGCATTGTGATTGGTTGGATCTGTTTATGAAAGTGCATCATATTCTTTGGGACAATATGAAAAAGCTAGTTTTTACTTCACAGTACCTTGCAGAAAGAAGTAGAGTAAAAATAGGATACTTAGAAATGTAAGTAGAATCTCAAAAATTTAAGTATTTTAATACAGTACATGTACTTGAGTACAGTAATGAAATCTATGCTCTTCATTCTACTGTCCACCACTGCTTCCAGATCCCATAATGGACATAATTGCCACATAAACTGGGACATATTCAGGCAGAAAAAGGATGTGTATGAGTTTGGCTTTTGTATATGGGTGTACAGGTGTGTTTGAGTGCATGTTTGTGTGTGTGGGAGCTGCTGCATTAGCAGCAGGACTTGGAGATTAGTCTGCTGGTCTTAATCTGGTGGGCGGGCAGGGCATGCGGCGTGAATATTGATGCTGATGCTGTCCTCTATCAGTGCCTCTGCCTGCAGAGCACAACGTGAGCAGCTCGTTCAGTCACACATACACTAACACACACACACACACACACACACACACACACACACACACACACAGTCACATCCACCAATATACGGCCTTCTCTCCTCTGCTCTCCTCTCCTTCTTTCCACACACTACAATCTCAAGAGCTCAGCCTATTCACACAAGCACTTCAGGGCAGAACAAAGTTTATAGAATCTCAGCAGGAGAATGCTGTGAGTTTGTAAAATTCTGCACTGTTGCTTTCACCCATTAAACTGCTCATGTCACAGATAAACGAATTGTCCAAAGTTTCAAAGTTTCACTCCCCAGTTCAGACAGTCCACATGTGGAAACTAAAGGTGTTTTTCCACTGCCAAACAGAGACCTACTGAACTTACAGTTCCTGTTACAGTTCATTTTCATCCAACTTGAGGGGCCATCATAATGCGATTATTTTATTGTCTTTTTGGTCATTTTATGCCTCTCTGAAGCTTGTAATCTGGCTATTTAGCTATCTGGCTTGCTAGTTATAGTTAGCTTATCTTATTGGCTGATATGAAATGATGTACTGCACTTATAAGAGCACACACTCACACAAATATCTGCATTTACCAAGAAACAAAAAAGCTTGTATTTTAGTGTTCAGTGTGAAAATATGGGCAAAAACACTCTGAACCTATACTGATAGTGTTAGCTTCCTAACTAGCTTACCCTAGCAAACTCTTTACAAATTAATCATTCTAAAAATAGCACTCAACACCATCAACATACCGTCCAAACGCACATTCTTGTGCACTTATTGGTCATGTAATGGTGCTTGCTGTTTTTATCTTCACTTGAAACAGTAAATATGAAACAGTAAACAGCTAAATTACTGTTGGCATCAGCAAAAGACAGAAGACAACACCTAACAACAAGTATTATTAGGTCCTATTGGTACCAATCTTCAACAGGTTTCAAAAACCATAAAACTGTAACTTTCAGTACTGGAGTGATGGCCAATGGAATAAGCCCAGTTTTCCACTGCTAAAGATACTTCTTAAGTAAAAAAAATGACAGAAGCTGCAAAAAATGGCTTCTTTTGTGTCACAAAAACCAATGCATTTACAAATATCTGCCTATTTCATCTCCAGCACTTTAGCTCCATCCATTCACGCTGAAGTAATAAGAGTAATAAGAGTATTGAAGCCTATTTGGGCCTGTTGAATGAAGTACGTAGCAACCAGCTTTAACAGAGCTCACTGACATATTAACCTTAAAGGTACAGTCATAAATAAAAATGGTTTAATTCCAAGGGATGAAAGGATGTTATAAACTGATTTTGGAAAAAGTAAAATAGAAGAGAAATGTAGGATATTGGCCCTTTAAATCAGTCAGTAGTCATAGTAGTTACAGAATGATTCATAATAGTTACTTTATTTAGTTTAACACTAATAAAAAACATCAGTTCACATGCCAGTTTAGCACACAGTAATCTAAGACAGTAAATAAAGTAGAGCATAATGTGAAATAAAGAAAGACTATGGTCACAAACAGTTCACTGTTGTTTAAACTAAAGAGTGATATGTGGTATATTGTTCTTTTTATTCATGTTAAGCCTTGAGCTACTGGGCAAGAAGCCTTAAGACTAATATTTAAATAACAAGACTAGCCCTCCAAGTGGTTAAATATGATGAAGCGCTTCAGATAAAATATATGTAGAATATATGGTGTGTGTATATAAAAATACATGTATTCTCTCAGTTCAGAGTCAGAGAACAAGTTTTGCATTCCTCACTTCATTCACTCCAGCCTTTGTCATGGAATCCTTTTATTTAACAGTGTTATCTGCTTACACCCACAAAAACAAATATGCAAAGGCACTGCAAAGCATGTTTCCATTCTATAGGGAAGAGAGCACAAGGAGCTATAGAATGCTGATATTCCTGGTGAATATCACTGGGGACTGCGCCAGTGCAGTAGCAGAGCTGGGGGCAAGCACAGGCAGCAGACGAGAAAGAGAGAGACCGAGAGTAAGAAAGAAAGAGAGAGAGAAAGAGAGAAAGAGGGGTGGAGGTGCAGGGGGATAGAGGCAGATCAGTCACAAAACGTGCTGCTAGTTAGTTAAGCCGAGGCAAGAGCTTGGCAAGATGAATCCATTCATTCTCACAGCAAAAACACCCCCAAGCCCCCAATAATAATGTCTCCAAACACTCAGTGTACAGTCTAACCATAACCAGCATAACGGAGTGAAGTTACAACATTGCTTTCTTATCCAGATTTACTGTATGAAAGGGCATTCTTTGATGTTATACTTACATACTGGCAATTATGGCCTTTGTATACGATTCACCTACTGTAGCACAATGAACGTGCTTCACTGGATTGGGAGAGGGCATATGACAGAGTCTACACATTAATACGTCAGATTCATGCATCTTCAATCTCATTCCTAGCAAATCTGCTTTGTTAAAATAGTATAAGGAGATGACATATCTTTGTCTGGGTCATTTCGACAGGATCAGTCTTTCCCACTGGGCCAATCCATAACATAACCAGTGGAAGCAGCACAAACAGGACAATATGCTAGATGTGAATAGATGCAATGTATACATTTCATTGGAAACACATACCCTGTCACAGCCCTGTCATACTGCATCATTATCTGTACATATTTAAATCGGGCATATATACAGTAGCTGATTTTTGTAATGTACCTGTACATAAAATTCAACGCACATCCTTTTTATAATGCAATAATACATGTTATTCATCGTACATCGAGTCCACTTATCTGAAGAGTGACATTTATGTTGAAATTCAGAAAAATTTATTCAGGAAAATTCTCAGTTTCAAGAAAAGCTTAATGCAATCAGAGAAGTTACAGAGTGGTTACATTTAAACAAAGGCTTTATGGACTGGGTAAATCTCTTTGTCAATGTTATGTGAGTGGCTTACAGTAGACAGTCAATGCTGACTGCTTTTCTAGTACAAAATAAGGTTCCAGACAAAGATTTTCCATCTCAGTTAAAAGTTGAGCTGCCATACCTACTTTGTACTTGTTTGGTTCTGGTCTCTGTGAGTGACCTCACTGAGCAGATCACTCCATGGTTAACCACCCACCCTTTCCCCCAAACCCCCCCACACAGATGCAGCAGCCTTTCAGCATCAGCACAGCTCAGGGCCCATATGTATCAAACATCTCAGAGTGAAAGAGCTGATGTAGGATCAGTATTTGAAAAGCAAGGTAAAACTGAACCTACATAATAGGGGTGGGAGAACAAGACGTTGATACAACATAGGTTTCTATTTTACCTTAGTCTATCTATTTCTTTCTGGTAAGACCAGGGCTTCTGTCAGTGGTCACAGGAATGATTGGATAATATAGTGGATTACACCATACTGGACTGAGGTTTGGTTCTAAATCTAAGCAGAAGCTCTGCCGCTTGGGTAAGACTACTAACATCACATTCACCTACCAGTAATAGGTGAAGTGGATTATGCGAGTCTTATTACTTAATAAATGGTATCTGGAGAAAGCATCCACTAAATATGTAAGCGTAAGAGCACATACAGTACTGCGCAAGAATCACAGGCTGTCCTTGATGTATTCATTGTTTAGCATCAGGAACTAAAAAACATATATTTAAATGAAAATTACACTGAAACCTCAACAATTAAATATATTTTTTTCAGGATTTGGTGTGTCCAACTTTTCCCCTGATTATAGCTTCTATTCTTTTGGTTAGACCATTTTCAAAGAAATCTGCAGGGATACTGTACCACACCTCCAAAGTTCTGAGAAGTTCTGCTTGTGATTCAGGTAACATACTCTACAATGTTGAGGTCTGGACTCTGGCGTGGCTAGTCTATTGTTTTAAAAACATCAGCAGCTCCTTTGTTTGATTTGCAAATGTCTTTCTGATTTGTCCATTTCTTTTTCTCTGCAACGGCTTCTTGACAGCTACACATCCTTTCAGACTCAAAGTGTTGCGTTGTCTTCTCACAGTGGAGGGATGGACAGAAACACCTGTGGATTTTTTTCAGATCTGAAGAAAGAGTGGAGCTTTATTTTTTCCTCTCTCTCAGAGGTGAAAGTACTGTTTATCTCCAGGTATCTGGAGGTTTATCTGTTTTTATTTTATTGTTTATCTTATTTTCCTTTGACCATTTCCTTCCTTTTGCAAGTGGATTTTTTTATGTCTAATTTCCTTAGAAATGTCTCCTGAAAAAAAAAAACTAGTACTTAATGGTTGTCTTGACTATAAATTAAATAAACCAAGGTGACTTTTGCACAGCACAGTATATGTCATGTGGCAATACTTGGCATATCACATAAGAATCATACTGTGGCTAAAGTATCATGGCTTGTAGTGATTCCCACCCATACTAGATCAGCACTCTTCTCTAAAGAGGAAAGATACATACCACCTGAGGAAAAGAGTTAGGAAAGGAAGCAGAAAGCAAAGCATGCTGGGATGACTCACACATGGCCGTACCAGACTGAGAATGTCTGCTCAAAACCTCCGTCATAGCCAGGGTCCCACGAGACGTTGGCCGAGGTCGTCGAGACCGTAACGCGGACGTTGTTTGGGGCGTGAGGGCTTGTGCCTGTGGGGAGCGGACAGCATATGTCAAAACAAACTCCTAAAAACACACACTCATGCACTAATACTGATGGCGGCTTGTTTATTTTCTTCTCTACTTGTCCTACAGCACTGTCTGCAGACAGAGGTCTCTAAGTCACACTGATTAGCTCAGTTACTCACCCACAAACACATGTACAAACAATAAACAGAAAGAGAAATGGACATAGAGAACCAAGACACAAAGAGTGAATCAGTTATGCTGTATATCTTAACGAAAGCCAGCAGGCCTGTTAACAACCAGCTGGTTTAAAGTGTCTTACAAGTCACTTACAATGGACAACATGCCTTTAAAAGCAATTAAATGTGCTCTTTTGTACAGGAACTTGCACTAGAGGCATTCATATGAGAATACAATAAATAAAGAGGCAAAGACTGAGACAAGCTGGCCCACAGAACCAGTATTGAACACCTACAAATTGCTGCAGCAGCTGCCGCCCAGCTGCTAATTAGAGGGGCCACAAAGACTTTGCTTCAGACTGTCCCCTTATCTTTTGCATTCACGCTGTAGCCAGCAGCAGAAAACGCCACACACCAGCATCTATGCCACTGGACAACCGTTTGAAGGCTAAGCTGGCAGTCCAACCTATCTGCAGCTGCCCTTCTAATACAGGCCCTGTCTAAATCAAATGAAACAACTACAACTCTATACTGCTTCCTCTCAACCAACAAAACCTCTCACAAATCAAATTAGACTCTGTGCTTCCTTGCGTACGCTCCCAGCCAAAGTAGACACTTGCCCGTCTGTGCTATTCAAATAGCAGCAGCACTGCACTCCACTGGCCTGGCAAATTGCTCCTCACTGTGTCTACCAGGTGCTGCAGTTTACAAATTGAGCTTTTGAGAGGCATCAAATCACGCTGATAAAACGATACTGCCTCCAGAGCAAACAGAGATCCAGAGCCATCTCTGCTTTCAATTAAGCCAACATAAATGTCTGGACTCTACGTGTACTCTGATCATAACAGACCCCAGGGGGAGTAAAGGTGATATTAGCTCATGCTGGTACGTCACTGTTTTGCGTCACCAGCTGCATAGGTTCCTACCGATTACTAGGAGGTGCGTGCTGGCAGTGATGCTCGTGGCGACGTTGGTGGCGACACACTCCCACTCTCCGTGGTCCTCCTTGGTGAGAGATTTAAACTGTAAGCTGCCTCTGGGTAGGACGTTGTGCTTGCCCTTGCTGGGCTTCCCTACCTTTGCCAGAGAGAGAGAGAGAGAAAGAGAGAGGGAGAGAGACAGAGAGAGTGAGAAGGTGAGCAAGTGAGAGAGAGCGACATAGGGAGTGAGAGAGAGAGCAAGATAGAGAGGGGGATAACAAGGAGAGAGAGAGAGAGAGCATGAGGAGGAGAGAGGGAGGGAGGGGGAGAGAGAATGAGAGAGAGGGAGAGGGAGAGAGTGTAAGAGGGAGAGAGTGAGAGAGCAAGAGAAAGAAAAGAGAGAGCGTGAGGAGGAGAAAGAGAAATGGAGGGAGAGAGAGAGAAAGGGAAGGAGAGAGAGTGAAAGAGAAAGAGAGAAAGTGAGAGAGAAAAAGAGAAAAAAGTAAGAGAGAGAGAGAGAAAGAGAGACATAAATAGGAGAAGAGGGAGGTAGAAAACAGTTTGAGCATCAGAACGAATGAGTTAACACTAATGCTAACAGGGTCTGTGAAACTGTATCAGAGGTGAAACTTTACAGTAATTCAATTTGATTATGATTCTTTAGGAAATGATTCAATGCATCATAAAATGTGATCTGATTTGTTGAGTTTGAATATTTAGGTATGATCTAGAATTTTGAAGAAGATATACTGACTACGTAAGTGTGACTAGAGGACCTGTTTACACCGTAGTGGACCACAGACACTGAGAACAACACAGCAAGCACTGAGAGGGCTCCCACTGTGCTTTTCTGAAGGCTGCAAAAAATGCTAGGTGCACTTTTCTTGGGGATTCACACTAGTTTTTTAAATGCCTCTTCTGGCTGTGAGTCTCCGTGTTGCTAAGCAATAAGAGCGTTGTAACTGTTCATCAGCTATGCTAGCTGGCTGTCTTTTTGTACGTACTAACAGAAAGTTCAGTCACTTGCCCTTTAAGAAGGGACCTACTATTAACTAAGTAAAACAAGCTTAAAAAAACGTTTTGTCATGCTAATTTTGATCTGTGAATTCATACAGTTCAAGACACTGAATAGCAAAATGCTTATGATATAGGCTACCTTGAGCTCTCTTACCTGAAGGGAAGAGGATTTTTTTAGTTATGTAAGATTTAGTTACATAAGACTTAATTAACAGCTTCAGTTTGAAACTCTTTTAATATGGCCTTTTTACTTTAAATTCCGGTAGTGTTACTTAATCTCTGCTTTACAGACCGAAATGATTGTCACCTGTCAGTTGTGAATTTAAAATATGATGGTGTAAGGTCTGGACGTATGTTACACATCTCAGTGAATTGAAAAGTTCATTCTGCATTATTGTAATAAAATTGAGCTGATATGGTTTGTCTCTGTAACGAGAGGTATGTGACCAAGAAACTGTTTCCAGATTGGTCACTAGTTCTCTGTGCTTTTGCCAATACTCTTCAATATTGGCTGACGTTATCAGCCCACCAATATATATTGGTCAAATCCTAATTTTTACACACCACTATATTCGACCACCCGTGCTGCATAAGTAACACTGAAGTCACAACAGTATGTCGAGGTGACTTTATGACTGACATGAATTTCTGACTCATGTTACCTTTCTCCAGGTAATGTTGGGGAAGGGGTCTCCTTCTGCCTCACAGGGGATGACCAGCTCTCTTCCTGCTTCCTGCCTGTATTCTCCTCCAGGAACCACCATGAACTTAGGGGGATCCTACAAATATACACAGAGCACATCAGAGAGCAAAGACACTTTTAACATGTGTGCGTGTATGTACTGTGTGATCATAGATGTGTATGTGGGTACCTTTAGCACCAGGGGGGCGGGAGGGGACTGTCCCATGGTACCCAGGGCGTTGTAAGGCACGCAGGTGTAGGTGCCGAGAGAGTCCTCTGTCACCTCAGCCACTCGAATACTCCCATCCTCCATCTGGCTCCAGCCAGGGTACTGAAACACAGATGACAACATGTCCCACATCCCACAAAACAACTGAAAATATATATTTAACAGAAAAGTACACACAGGTTTCAACAACTGCATATAGCATCAGTTCAGTGTGTTCTTTGTCCTTTTTAAATAAGATTTGCTTTCAGTTTGTCAAAGAAATCTGCTTGGATATTTTTCAACACCTCCAAAGTTCAGTCTTAGAAGTTGGTTGCATTTTCTGCTTCTAATGATTCAAGGCAGAGAATACCCCCTTTGTAATATCCCCAAAGCCCTGCAGCATTAGCTGGCTGGCTGAGAGCAGGAGGGAGCCTAACCTTCTCTACCCGCAGAGGCAGGCCGTCTTTTCTCCACTTCACTGAAGTGACAGGTGGGTTGGCATCCACCGGGCAGCGGATGTACCCCGGCAGTCCGATGGCCACGTAAATGACGGGTGGCATGTTCACCACGCGGGCAGGGTCTGCAGGACATATATGGAGAGAGATGGCTGGTTTAGTGTAACTCTCTTGAAAATAAAGACTTGCATGTACAGATCCAGGAAAAGCCTTTAGTTGCCATTATGTGGAAATGTTTTGAACATTGCCCCATACTCTACTTTTATCATGTTTTTATTTATCTCCCTGTAGTTCACTTAAGACATGTGTGGGAGTTTATGTGCCATACACAATAATAATTACTTTTTACATGATCACTTTTAAATCTCTCTTTATCCCGTAGAATTAAACATGCTGTTTTGCTACTGAACCTTTTATGTATTATATCCGCAGTGGGAACAAAACCTTGTATCTTCATTTTTGTTGTTTTTTAGTTTTTAGCATAATTTGAAAATGCCTGTTACCTTATACATTGTGTGTACATTTCATGATGAATGTGTCACAAATGTCACGAGCGAAGCGGAAGAAACGAACTCTATCTCCCAGAATCCTCTGGGAGATCAAGACTTTGACGCTTCCTACAAACCCCAATACACACACGGACTCCATCTCTCAAAATACACAGGGAGATCAGCTGACTTCTGATCTCCCCACACTCTCCTATCAGCGTTCTCGATCGCCCGAATTCTGATGTATTACACCTGTGTGTTTTGATCATGTGACTTCCTCAGTTTAGCTTATAAGCCTGGGCTTTAGCGTTAGTTATTTGCGAGGTATTGTTTCATTTTTGCAAACTGCTGAACGTTCTATCTGTGATCCTGATTTTGTGCATGACCTGTATTACCTGTTCTTTTCGACTCTGTTTTTGGATTTGCCCTTAGGATTGATTGCCCTGGATATCTGTTCTATGTGTTTTGACCTTTTTGCCTGTTTTTTGACGACGACTTTGGATTCTGACTTCAACATTAAAGCTTACTTCTCTTTCTTTATCCGCGAGCGTCTGCATTCCGTGAAACTGTTACAGAATACCTCGCCACAAATGCAGACGACGGACCCAGAAGCCTTCCAGAAAGCCCTGACGGAGCAAGGACAACTGCTCGGACGTCATCAACAGGTTTTGACGGGGGTAACACACTCACTTGAATCGCTAGCTCACCAACAAGCTGAACAGCAGAATCAGCTAGCTCAACTAGTGACCAGCGTGAAGGGATTAACCAGCCAATTACAAAATATGAACCTAGCTTTTCCGTAAGTTCCATCCCAGGCCCCTTCATTGCAACTCGAGGTTTCTCCCTGTAAGTAAACCTGATAAGTTCGAGGGAGACCCGGATAAGTGTCGCGGATTTTTACTGCATTGTTCAGTTTTTTTTGAGAATTCTCCTGTTTGTTCCGACCAAGCCATGATTTCATTTGTAGTGTCCAGATTAGCTAATAAAGCATTAGAATGGGCTACTGCTAGTTGGACTCATATTCATAGACTGTCTTATGCCCAATTCGTAAACGAATTTAAGACTGTTTTCAATCATCCATACGAGGGCAAGATTAGTGGTGAGTTGTTGTCCAAACTATGTCAAGGAAGCCGCTCAGTAGTAGACTACTCCCTGGAATTCCGCACCCTGGCAGCTAGTAGTGGGTGGAACGAGGCTGCGTTGCTAATAATGTTTCGCCAAGGACTGAACGCTGAAATTTTGAATGAACTCGCATGTAAGGATGATGAATTGAATCTAGATCAGCTAATAAATCTAGCAATCCGCTTGGATCACTTGCTACACCACCGCACACACTCAAAGAGCGAAACACGGACCAGAAGAACGTTTGCTCGAGTAAAAGTAGTTCCAGAGCAGAACGATAGCACCGAGCCCATGCAATGCGAGTCCTTTCGCCTATCCCAAGAAGAGAGACAGCGTCGCATGAGAGAGCAACTGTGTCTCTATTGTGGCAAAGCAGGACAGCGAATTTGTGACTGCAGAATTAGGCCACAAACGATGAAGGCGCCGACCCTTGGACAGCTTGTGGAGTATACTCCACGTGCTAATGTGGTGAGTGTACCCACAAAGGGGTTGGTCTCAAAATCTGTTATGATACCTGTTACTATCTGCTGTCAGCCTCAATCTCTTGTCGTCTCAGCCCTATTTGATTCCGGAGCTGAAGGTAATTTCATTCATGCTAGAGTGGTGGAGCAGCTGCAGATTCTCGTAGGAACTTTGAAGACATCCCTGAAGGTGACAGCTCTGGATGGAGGTCCATCAGAATTCAACATGATTTTGGGCCTTCCCTGGCTAGAGAAACACAATCCATCCATTTCCTGGGCCGAGCATACTATTGAAAGATGGTCAGACTTTTGTATACAAAACTGTGTCACATCCCCCGTAATCACCATATCCTCCACCTTAGTGGAAAGCCCCAATGTTAATGACAAATTCCAAGTCCCTTCTGAATACTACGATTTGAAAGAAGTATTTAGTAAGCATAATGCTACTAAGCTACCCCCACATAGGACCTATGATTGTACCATTGACCTCATAGACAACCCCATTTTTGCCTCGCATTTATCCCCTGACACAAGAAGAAGAGAAGGCGCTTGACACATACATCAGTGAAGCCCTGGAACAAGGTTTTATTCGACCTTCCACCCCCCCGGTAGTTTCTAGTTTCTTTTTCATTAAGAAGAAAGATGGTGGATTACGCCCCTGTATTGATTATCAAGCACTTAATCAAGTCACTAAGAGTTATCAATATCCTCTTCCTCTAGTACCTGTAGCTTTGGAACAACTAAAAGGGGCCAAGTACTTTACTAAAATCGATCTCAGAAGTGCATACAACCTGATTCGAATAAGAGAGGGGGATGAGTGGAAAACTGCTTTCGTGACCACTAGGGGGCACTACGAGTACCAGGTAGTGCCTTTTGGGCTCTCTATCGCCCCCTCTGTTTTTCAAGCATTTATCAACGAAGTGCTTAGAGACATGCTAGGAAAATATATGATAGCCTATCTCGATGACATCCTAGTTTACTCTCCAGATAGAGAATCACATGTCCAACACATTTGAACAGTCTTGCAACAATAACTGGATAACAACTTATACTTAAAAGGTGAAAAATGTGAATTCCATTTACAAACCATGTCCTTCTTAGGCTACATCATTAGTTCACAAAGTGTGATTATGGACGATCAAAAGGTAGAAGCAGTAGTTCAATGGCCCACACCTACTTCTGTAAAAGATCTCCAAAGGTTCTTAGGATTTGCCAATTTCTATCGTCGTTTTATAAGAAACTTCAGTAGCATTGCGGCTCCCCTCACCTCTTTATTAAAAGGACGTGCTAAGAAACTACAATGGACAGAGCAGGCAGACAAGGCTTTTCAGACACTAAAGGAAGCCTTTACCACAGCCCCCATTTTAAAACATCCAGACCCGTCCGAGCCCTTTGTTGTAGAAGTAGATGCTTCTGAGACAGGTGTCGGAGCCGTTTTATCCCAACGATCAGGATCCCCTCCAAAATTACATCCCGTTGCTTTCTACTCACACAAAATGTCGCCAGCAGAACGTAATTATGGCATAGGAGATAGAGAGTTGTTGGCGGTCAAACTAGCTCTAGAGGAATGGCAACACTGGCTCGAAGGAGCCATCCACCTTTTTGTAGTTCTAACAGATCACAAGAACCTAGAATATTTATGTACAGCAAAACGTTTAAATTCCCGCCAAGCTCGATGGTCTTTGTTTTTCTCCTGCTTCAAGTTTAGCATCACGTATAAACCTGGATCTAGAAACACGAAAGCTGATGCATTGTCACGAATCTACCATAACGATCACAGTTCAAATGTGGCTGATAAGGTAGAACGTATACTCCCACAGGAAGTGTCTACCAGTACTATTCGCTGGCAGATAGATGAAGAGATCGCTAAGGCATTATCAAATATAGAGATCCCTGATCAGTGCCCTTCTGGAAAAATCTATGTACCAATTCAGTTCCGTACGTCACTCATTACTTGGGCCCACTCCTCACTTACATCTGGCCATCCAGGAGAGACTAGAACGCATCAGCTCGTAGCAAACAGGTATTGGTGGGAGTCGATGCATAAGGACATTCACACTTTTGTTAGTTCTTGTTCCACTTGTGCTCAATGTAAGACCCCTAAGACTCTACATGCAGGAAAGATTGTCCCATTGTCTGTTCCTAGTAGACCCTGGTCCCACATAGCTGTGGATTTTATCACTGATCTGCCCGAGTCACAAGGAAATACCACTAACCTGACGGTAATAGACCGCTTCTCTAGGGGAGTTAGATTTGTTCCTTTTTGTTCTTTGCCCACTGCGTTTCAGACAGCAGAAGCACTTTCTCACCATGTTTTTAGATTGTTCGGTATACCAGAGGATATAGTATCAGATAGGGGACCTCAATTTACTTCCCAAGTTTGGACTGCGTTTTTTGAAAGTTTGGGCGTTTCCGTTAGTCTCACATCTGGATATCACCCCCTACTGAATGGACAGTGCAAAAGAGCAAATCAGGAGTTAGGCAAGTTCCTTAGATTATTTTGTTATGATAACCCTTCTGACTGGTCACGTTTCCTACCATGGGCAGAAATGGCTCAAAACTCGCTCACCAGCTTGGCCACTGGGATGACACCATTTCAGTGCGTCTTGGGGTATCAACCACCTTTAGCGCCCTGGACGGGTATGTCTACAGACGTACCAGCAGTAGATGAATGGATGCAGAAAAGTGAACAGGTATAGGAAAATACACATCAGCGAATTGAGGATGTTTTGAAAAGGAACAAGGAGCAAGCGGACAGACGCCGGACGGAGAACCCTGTTTTTCAGCCGGGGGACCGTGTGTGGCTATCTACCAAGGACTTTCGCCAGTTTGAGGGAAGTAGGAAGCTTCAGCCCAAGGACATTGGACCATTCAAGATAGTAAAAAGAATCAATGACGTAACGTATAGACTAGACTTACCTCCCCGATATCGTGTTTCCCGTTCTTTTCATGTCTCTCTGCTTAAACATGTTATTTCAGGGCCCTTGGACGAGGCGGCGCCGGGCGACACGCCACCTCCGCCTGAGGAGATAGATGGGGTGCCAGTCTATGCTGTCCGAAGGCTGCTGGACTCCAGGAGGCGCGGAGGACAACTCCAATATCTGGTGGACTGGGAGGGATACGGACCGGAGGAGCAGAGTTGGGTTACAGCTAAAGACGTTCTAGGTCCAGGCCTGGTGGCGGGCTTTCATAGCCAGCACCCGGACAAGCCTGCTCCTCGTCCCAGAGGGTGCCCGAGAAAGGGGCTCTCCAATTTTCTCCCTGCTCGTATGAGGAGTCCACGGGAAAGGTCCTCATCTAGCCGGCGCCTCGGCAGCTCTGGGTCTGCCCCTGTTCGGCTTTCAGGTGGAGTTAGTGGTGGTCGTCCTGGCCGGCCTCGTTCCGGGGCCACCCCGGACTCTTTAAAGGGGGGTACTGTCACGAATGTCATGAGCGAAGCGGAAGAAACAGACTCTATCTCCCAGAATCCTCTGGGAGATCACATGACTTTGACGCTTCCTACAAACCCCAATACACACACGGACTCCATCTCCCAGAATACACAGGGAGATCAGCTGACTTCTGATCTCCCCACACTCTCCTATCAGCGTTCTCGATCGCCCGAATTCTGATGTATTACACCTGTGTGTTTTGATCATGTGACTTCCTCAGTTTAGCTTATAAGCCTGGGCTTTAGCGTTAGTTATTTGCGAGGTATTGTTTCATTTTTGCAAACTGCTGAACGTTCTATCTGTGATCCTGATTTTGTGCATGACCTGTATTACCCGTTCTTTTCGACTCTGTTTTTGGATTTGCCCTTAGGATTGATTGCCCTGGATATCTGTTCTATGTGTTTTGACCTTTTTGCCTGTTTTTTGACGACGACTTTGGATTCTGACTTCAACATTAAAGCTTACTTCTCTTTCTTTATCCGCGAGCGTCTGAATTCTGTGAAACCGTTACAGAATGGACCAAAAGGGTTTCGAAAATTTTTTCAAAATTACTTGAAAAAAGGTCTGGTTCCATTAACTTACATTAAAAGTAAAGTAGGTTTTTCCTTCTCCTGTAAACATTTTGGAGATATGAGGTTTTGTTCTGACAGCAGTGATTATATATATATATATATATATATATATATATATATATATATATATATATATATATATGGCTACCCTGTCTTGTGCCTCATTCAAAAAGAAATCTTAGGTGACTGGCCACTTTAAAAAAGCTCTTCACATTTAACTGTCCCTATTCTTTAAGAACCAGTGCTTGAAAAGTTCTGAAACTGGTTTGTTTATGGAACTGCTCCAAACAACTCTATTTGGCACCTTTATTTGAAGAGCGTAGGACAAACAGAAAGCTGCAACACTGCTGCTGAACATTAGCGGTCATTAGGCCTCACTGCTGAATCACTGGCTGCCTCTCAACCATTAGCTAACAGCAAGATGAGAGGAGATAGTCCCCCCAGATTCCAGCAGCAAGCAGGAGGATAGACATCTGAGTGATTAGACTGGCACGCGTGACATGGATCCTCTAATGATGGAGTAATCCCCTAATCAAGGATCATGTGCTCCTGTGCTGTAGCCAGAAATATGGATAACTCTAACTCCGCAGGACAGAGAAAATGAGAAATACATCGGCCGGGTATAAAAATGAGCCATGTGTCTGACCTTCGACTAAAAGAACCAGCAAATGCAGACAAGCGTGAAAAGACCAATTTCTTCAAGTGGAGATGCAGTGGGTTTTTTGGGGAGTGGACATCTATAACGCCATCAAGTATACAGTCAGTCATGTGTAACTCGGAGTGTAGATCACTGTCTCTCATTTGAGCGCAGCCTACTGTAGGAGTAGCCGGCGGGGGAATATGCGCCGAGCACTTTGAAGAAATTCACTGCTCCATCTTTACGCTTGGCAAAGTGCCAGGATCTATTTTTAGCAGAGGTGGAGGGGGGGCGGTGAAGAGAAGGGGAGGATGCAAGATAAAAAGATGGAAGAGAATTAAAGAGCAGAGGAGTAAAGAGAGAGCACGAAGAATACGAAAAGAGAGCACAGACTCAGAGAGAGAGAAATGGCTGGAAAAAAGGAGTTAAAAAAAAAAAAAGGTGCTGAGTGTAGGCCAGAGCTGCAGTGCTGCCAGCCGTCTCGTGGGGGCGCCAGTATCCACAACCGCCAGCCTGCCAAGTGTCTGCAGGTGACGTCACTGCAGAGGAGAGGGTTTCCACACAAGATGATGTCACCCTCTCCATATCGCCCCCTCCTCTCTCTCTCTTGCTCTCTCTCTCACTCACTTCACACATCAGACTCAGAATCACTTTATTGGCCAAGCACATTTGCATGAGGAATTTGCTGAAATTGCTTACATAAATGTACGGAATACCAACAGCATACAAATTATATGAATAAATACAATACAAAGGCTCAAAGGCTATTACAAATTATACATATATCAACAATATATAAACTGACCAGGTGGGATATGATTGTAACAGGTGTAAATGTATCTTCTTTTAAACAAAATGATTGCATTCCGCCATATGCTACTTATTATGATACCATAATGCACAATGTGGGACAAACCAAAGTGTGTTAAATATACATGTATATGAGTCAAAATACACAGTTTTACACAGGGCTGTCCAGGTTGGCTGGGGGACAGCAAAGAGGACAGACTCGGAGACTAAGAGAAACCCGGAGACTCCTCACCACACATTCCACAGCACATATCCCCTCCGCTTCAAAACCACAGGGGCTTCTCCAAAAGCCTTCAGAAAAGGCAGCTGCCGCCACCAGCTGTCGAACGGTTCCACAAGACGAGTGGGGGGGAGGTATTGCATAACAGGAGCAAACAGATCAATCCTACGGTTCTGAATTAGAGCGCTGATTGGGTTTTTAAGCGTGATAGGATGAGCCCCCTGCAGTCTGTGCTTTCTCTCTCTCAGCCTCAGCTCAGCTAAACTATGATGTAATGCCTCTCTCTCTCTCTACTGCCACACTTCCCTGCCGAACCAACGTGGGCCAATCTCGTGCCCGAGACTGAGGGAATTCAAAATGTCTGTTGCCTTGGATACCACAGTCACCATGAATGGCACGTCGTCTCCTCTGGACGGTCGCTGCACTCATCCACCCCACTATTCTCCATACGCACCTCCTGCTAGCTTTTCCCCTCAAAACCTTTGAGCAAAATGAGGCTTATACATTGAATGGTTACTTCAGGCACTTTCCCTACACATGTGTACTTGTATAGAGCCACGACTGACTGATCTTCTGGCTTACGCACTCAAGGTCACTGTTTCAATTCAAGCCCTGACTCCAGGGACAAAGAGCCATTCCAATCTTCAGGCTGCAAATAGAAAGCGCTGGGCTGCTGGCTGAAGCTAACACGCCCCGAAGCCCACGCACGAGCGCGCTGAATTGGCTTGGAGACTGGAGTAACCTCCGATCAATTACAACACAAAACCCTAATAGAAAAAAAATCACATCTCAGTTCTACTGTTCAGCATACAGGCTATATGAAGAGGGAGGTAATTGAATTACATATGTTTCAACCCACCACATGGATAATACAGCCGTGAGGATAAAGGCTTTCACTTAACGCTCTTAGCGTAATGGCATGTAATGAGTACATGCATTACATGAAAGCAAAAGTCATGCATTACCTTATATAAGCCTAAGGGTATGGGAGAGGTATATTGAGGAAAACGATTTCATGACTATGAATGTCAGTGATATCACCAAAATGTAATATCCTGAAAGGGAAATCATTATTGCCATTATGCCCCAACCGCACAATGTTTTATTGAAACTGGACCAATAAGCTTAGTGATAGCATAACTAACTTCTGAATGTATATGAAGCCACTGGTCGCAGAAATCATTGCATTTTCTTATCCCATATTTAAAGGGCTCATATCATGGAAAACAAGTTTTCCGTGCTTTTTTAACCCCTTAAAATCTCAGGCTTATTACATACAAAGTCTTATTATTCAGTAACTACAGGGACTTCAGTGTAAACTGATTGAGTTATTCTTATGGGATAGTTTGGGACATGGAATATGGGTATGGGATAGGTATATTTAGGAAAACAATTTCACAACTATGAATATCATTGATATCACCAAAATATAATATCCTGAAAGGGAAAACATTATCGCCAGCCCAACCACACACTGTTTTACTGAAACTGGACCAATAAGCTCAATAAGCTAAGTGATAGCATAACTAACTTCTGAATGTGTATGAAGCCACTGGTCGCAGAAATCATTGCATTTTCGTATCCCATATTAAAAGGGCCCATATCATGGAAAAACAAGTTTTCCTTGCTTTTTTAACCCCTTAAAATCTCAGGTTTATTACATAAGTAGTTCTATTATTCAGTAAATACAGGGACTTCAGTGTAAACTGGCTGAGCTATTCTTAGGCAATAGAAGTGCAAAACTTTGGGCCTGCCGATGGGCCTCTGGCCATTTAAGGGGTTAAATAGTTTTATGCAGTATGTAAATATTAGCACTTATAATGTACTGTTTTGTCCATATTGTCCACATATAGAACCAAAAAATTTGGTTATTGTTTCAATTTCTGTTGTGATGTTACAAAACCAAAGAGTTTACATACATCTGTCTATTCAGCCAGAAGGAGGTTCACACTGTATGGATGAAATGGGCCCTATAAAAGCACCATTTGATCAGTATAGAGCAGCACATACAGTCATGGTTTATAAGAGTAGTAGATTGTATGTGGCACTATTTAGATTCAGTGTGATGGTCTGTATGGGACAGTTGTGAAAGCTGCATGTATGTGATGATGATATATAAGTACTACATCAGCAGGACACGTAGCCTGACTCACATTGCACTATCAGGTATGCTGATGCAGAGGGCGACCGGCCAAGGCTGTTACTGGGAATGCAGGTGTACTTCCCAGCATCTTCAGGTTTCACCTGGGCAATGATTAGGGAGCCATCGATCAGAATTCTCACTCTGCGCTTCAGATCACTGCAGAAAGAATGAGAAAGACAGCTTCAGTAAAATTAACATTAGTGTCCTGATAAATAATTGTATACTTAATTATATTTTTCTAACTACATGAAAGTACACTAATGTAATTAAATTCAAAACTCTTAAAAAAAAAAAAAACTCTTACAAATCAAAACACTCTCCAAAAGCTATCCACAGCTATCCAGAGAGGGGAATAGGGAAAATCAAAACAGCTTGAGCAGACAGAGTGCTTGAGCGAGCTCTATTCATGCCCCAGTCTCCCTCTGCTCTCCTCCCCTGTGCTTTCAGCAGAACAAAAAAGCCATAAGATCCTTTTTCTATAGAGTGTACAGGCCACGCATGAGGGAGTCTAGGATAGCTCAGGGCTACGCTACTTATAATCAGTGCTAGTGGAGCGTATGATGACACAAGCACCATGTCACTTGATATTTCTGTCAGGGGAGCAAGGAGAGCAGAGGACATGCGGGCAGAACCTGAGCCATCTTACACTGAGACTGAGATTAGACTGAGATCAGATCAGACTGAGGTCAGACCAGAGTGAGATCAGATCAGACTGAGGTCAGACCAGAGTGAGATCAGATCAGACTGAGGCCAGACAAGACTGAGACCAGACAAGACTGACCTCAAACTGATCTCAGTCTTGAGATCAGACCAGACTGAGATCAAATCAGACTGAGATCAGATTGAGATCAGACCAGACTGAGATCAGACCAGACTGAGATCAGAGCAAGATCAGACCCGACCGAGATCAGGCCAGACTGAGATCAGATCGAGAAAAGACCAGACTAAGTTTAGACTAGACTGAGATCAGACCACAATGAGATCAGATCTGACCACGATCAGTCTATAGTAGGCTCTTGATTCAGAATGGAACCCAAGTGAGCTCAGCCTACAATCAGAACAGGACGCGTTTACAGCTGACCTATAAATCTGTGTGCATCCACTTCTTACAATTTCAGTTAAACTGATAAGCAATTACACTACCATTTAAAAGTTTGGGATCACAGTTCAAAAGTTTGGAATCAGTGATTTAAAAACAATTTTGCTGCAGAAGCATCATCATGGTATCATGGTGGACTCCACTTTGTCTTTTCCAGCCTGGATGAGCTCACTCCAGCTAATTCTGGACTGATTCTGTTAGCACATACCTCAGTTTGGCTTTGTTATTTCTTATTTTGTTTGCTGTTGTCTTGGGCTAAGTCTCAAGTGGCTCTCTACTCCCTATATAGTGCACTAAGTAGGCCTTAAAATAATAGCTCCCACACCTAAACAGTGCATCATATGTTTGACAGTGAGCTTCCACGGTATATTTCTGAGCCTTTTTCATTGCTTTGTGTTTACTGTGTTTTGACCATAGCTCTGTTTTTCTGTTTTTATTATTTTTTATTTTTTTGGAAATTGTGGATTTGCCTTGAGCGCACTTCTCTGCTTGTGTTTTGACCCTGCCTGTGATGACTACAAGTGTTGGATTGCCCCTAATAAAGCTACTCTGCGCATGTGTCCATCCTCAAAGCCCCTTCCATTACATACACGTTTAAAATGATTCTAATATTCCATAATAACCGAGAAAGATACAGAGCATTGAGAATGAACATCTAATAAAAGTAATATCCAGAATGCCTCACAATCAGAAAGCAGTGACCATACCTCACCAATCAAATAGCTATTTACAGTTTATTTATGGTATAGGATATTTTTTACCATGAAATAAAATAAAGTCATAACTTCTCACTTTGATGTCTAGTTTCTGACATTTAATTCTACATTGTATAAAGTATTATTGAATGACAGTCATTGATATGACTTACTAACATGAGTGATACCAAACCTTTGAATGATAGTGTGTAAGTAAATCATATATCATCACATGACTATGATGTTTGAAAATAATTACATCACTATATATGGAAAATGTGTTATTGACTCTTTTTGATCAAGGCCTCTTGGGGACCCCTCTACCTAGAGGCTCTGTGTAGTCAGTTCATCTATTCCCCTGTATGTGTGTTTTTATAGACTGCTGTGATCTGGCATATTATAATTTCCTTATCAGTTCAACCAAAACAACCATTTTTATTCTCAAAGGAGAACTCCACATCCTGCTATTTGTACTGCGCTGAGAAATATAGTCTGTCTAAACTGAACAATTTCTTGGTCTAGACTATACAATAGAATAACATGAAACTCAAACCCACCTGCCCCCCAATATAGACAGTCTTGACTAAATCAGGCACATCGAATAACAGCTAGCATTTAAGTATTCAGTAATGCAGTGTCGAATAAAAATAACTGCAGAGACTGAGAGAGAAATGTGTGAGGAAGCTCAGAGGTGTGTATGATCTTGAGGCGACAAGCTCAGTGACACACTGACACACGTATACAATGTGAAGATGAGCGAGAAACGCATAAGCAGCGTGACAATTCAGCAATACAACCCACTAAAGTCACTCGCACTTCCGTGGAGTGCAACTCAGTGCTCATGCAGATGGAAATAAATCAGCTAGATTTTCAGCTCATATAAAGGTGAAATCCATTAGTAGCACATTTTACCTCGAAAAATCTACATTTAAACTTGACATACTGCATTTACATCTATTCTTAAACTTTTAAAGTGATAGATTCATTTATAATGAATAGACTCCTTAAATGCACCTTAAAAAATGCGTTAAAGTGAAACTCCACCCAAAATCTGTTGAAAATCTTCAGCGGGGCTGCAGTGGTCTCTAAAGTGGGATTTTCCAGTTTAAAGATTTTTCTCGCTAGGTGGCCAGTGCAGAAGGAATCCAGATAGCTGTTGTTACTGGTAGGAAGCCACATATCATGTCTGTATTTGTTAGCCTCTACACTGGTGGCCACACAAGCATTCAAGATTTCTTTATCGCAGTGGGAATGTTCTCAATGGTTGCATCATATATTCATATAAGATCAAACCACTGAGCCTGAGGGATACAATTCTGCAGTACAGAATATTATATAACATGACAAATAACATGAAGCTCTAGTTTTAGGCTGGAATGCCCCTTTAAAAGAGTGCAAGTTTATACACTCTTTAAACAGATAGGCGGTTCTAGGAAAATCAATGTAAAACTTTTACATTACGTGGAGGTTCTTTAAACTTTTAAAAAAGTTCTTCCCACTTTCACATCACATTTAGAATAATGTTGTTTTTTAAAGAATCACCCTTTCAAAGGTTATGTAGGGAACCAAAAGTGGTTCTTCTATGGCATTGCTCCAAAGAACTGATGGTACTGATGGTAAACCTGAATGAGGATGGGCAGTGCACAGTGTATGGATGGTGGAGTATCCCCTGTGCTACAGCAGGGGTCACCGACAGTGAGGTATGGTACAGTAATGAACCCGATCATAACTTTACTTCTTGAAGAAGACATTATCTTCCTCCCAGAACCAGGTGTACGTCAGGTTGCCAGGATACGCCTCGGCCTGGCAGGTGAAGAATGCATCCTGGGATATGTTTACGGTTATGTTCTCTGGAGGGGATACGATAAATGGAGGTCCTGCAAGCCAAAATGAAACACATAATAAACCAAGAGCTCTTGTCTTATCGCATTTGCTCATGTCTGAGGTTGAAGGTTAAAGACAGAACAGTGTTAAAATTGTTTATACACATAAATCATTCATAACACATCTTCATAACATTGACAGGCTGTGAGCTCTCGGACACTGTGAATCAATCAAAATGATAAAATCTGTCAAGGTTTGAGCTGGCATGCTACACAAGCAACGATTGTTCTTTTCAGTCAATGCTTTCTTACTGCAAAATAAACAAAGTTAATAAAGACAACTACACTTCCCTTCATAGATGTAAATAAACCAGACGGGTCATTCATAAACCTACCCTGAGGTGAATATGACTACTTGTTAAATTTATGAGCACAATATGTATTATTTGAGTATGATTTGAGATTAGATTTATTATTGTTGTTGATTATAACAATAATGCATATTGTCACTGTCCAAAGAAAAACAAGTATCTCCAAAATAGTAACTTTACAGGAGAAGGCAAAAACACTTTTACCTTTCAATCTAAGTTAATGTAAAGAGATTTTATTTCAGAGATTTTAGAGCATTTCTATTGGTCCATTCATCATGAAATATTCACACAATGTAAAGGAGAGCTGGTGTGTTGAAATGATATAGAAAAATAAAAATTGCCAAAATGGAGATACATGGTTTTCTTTGGACAGCAAAGATATACAGTTGTATATACAAAATGTTCTGTTGATTTTCAAAGTGGAAAGTTAACACATACTCTACAGGGAAGAAACTTAAATATGCCCCTTAAGTCAAATGAGCAGTTTCTGCAACTGTTCTTTGCCGAACATTCTGGCACTCAAAACACCTGCTTCATGGAGTCTCATCTTTTCTTTCTGTCTGTCTCTCAATTCTTATTGAAAAACTACTTTGATATAGGATGATTACAGGCCATTCTGTGTCATCTTTGGGAACAACTTGAGTTAAAATTGTGGTCAGTATTAAAATGTCCAGTGTTATATTTTAAGAACTGCATGTGAAATAGACACTATTAGAAACAGGAGACAAACTGTGAGATGGACACCATGCAACTAAAAAGTTAGTTGTTATATAACATGCTATGTCATTTTACCCCAGGAAGTGTTATGACACAATCTAACGTCAACAAAAACATGACATGAGTGTTCTGTCAACTTAACAGTGAAGTTGACAAAAGCCAACTGCTGCTTGTTTGACTAAGCCTTTATAAATGTGTATGTAGGATTATATCAGCTGTCATGAAGGTCATGTAGCCTTATGAACATTACCCACAGTGATCACACAGCAGGGTCTGTATTTGCTGGACACCCAGTCAGCAGCACATTTAAATCATAATTTACTGCCACTGCAATGTCTAACATCGTCCACATTGTGCAGCTCTGCTGCAGATGTTGAGGAAACTGCTCTGTGTCTTTGTATCATAGCACAGTGACAAACAGTAAGTGTTTGTAAGCTAATATGGGCAGCGCCAGAATGTACCTCACAGGCCACAGATTGGGAACAGACGCTGGATTTGAATATCAATAGCTGAGGTGATGATCAGAGTCATCCCTACTGGGTGTGTGTGTGTGTGTGTGTGTGTGGCTGTCTGTGGCTCTTTGTTGGTCTCTCCACAGATCTCACTTTACCCCCTACCTAAGGGCCTCACTTTGGCTGGCAGTGGCAGTACAGAGAGAGAGAGAGGGATTATGAGGCCCAGAGAGTGCTAGCCCTGCGGACACCACACTGTGCAGTCGAGCAAAGAAGCTACAGATGCTCCATGTCTCCCTCTACAACACAGTGCTCCACTCAAACAAACACATACACACTCCAGCCAAAAGGCCCTTTAAACACCCACACCAGCTAACACAAACATATAGACTCATGCCACTCACAGTGCACATGCATTATGACAATACTTACATGTACAAAATGGCAACACAACAAAACTCTTCCAATAGCAGATCTCTGAGAACGAGTCATTATCTTGTAGTTTGTCATTAGCAGAAAGAAGAATGGTAGTTTCAAAAACCGACCTATAACACTGTGATTAACCAACAAGCTCTAAAGCCGAAACATCACACACTTGGACAAGCGACTACCCAAATACACCTTAGCTGCCTTGCAAATTTCTTTCTCAATCCACAATTGCTAAAGGAGATATTTCTGAGGATATATTAGATATAAGACAACCACTTGTTTAAGGAAGGAGAAAGTCCAAAGAAAATAAGTGAAATAAAGGAGCTTTCAAAATTGGAGTTCAAAATAGAGACAAGACCTGGTAGACCACCAAAACAGTCACCTTTAGACAAACAGTATGTAAAGCCCTTTTTGCTTTGAAAGACAGGAGAACATCAAGCTTCACTTTTGCTTCAAATCTGGTGTTTCTGTCCATCTTTGCACTGTGAGAAGACAACGCTATGAGTCTGAAAGGATGTGTAGTTGTCAAGGAGCTGTTACTGAGAAAAGGAAACAGAGACCAGACCTCAACATCTCTGAATGTGTTTGGGATCACTTGGATCATGAGAAGTAGAAAAAGCAACCAACTTCTGAGACTGAACTTTGGAGGTGTGAAAAACATCCCTGCAGATTTCACTGAAAAACTGAAAGCAAGTCTGAAACATGTAAGAATGTGAGCTGTAATAAAGGGTGGACAAATGAAATATTGAAAATGGTATTATATTTAGTTGTTTAGGCTTCTGTAATTATCTGATTCTAAATATGTTGTCTACTTTATCCTTATGGCTGTTTTGACTGGAAATTAAATAAATGAAAGGGTGGTCCCTGACTTTTGCACAGTACTGTGCATTTTTATTACCTAAATATCACTGTGTTAATTTGCTTATAGAACTTGCTATGAATTCAGAAGATCTAGTGATATTCATGGAGAAAGGTAAATCAGACAAATGTATTAGCACACATTTTGTATTTTCATTTACCGTGTGATGTGGTGATTTTCAAAAATGCTATTCGTTTTTTGTCCTAGTTCAGACTCAGAATTCTTATCCGAGCATGTTGCCGACTACAAAATGACGCACGACTCCAGAGGTCTACAGAGGGTCACACAGTCGCCACTAGTTGAGTCCGACATTCACCCTTGTTGTGACATGCTGTCTTTTCATTCCTGGTAAACACTGCTGAGTGTCTTGAAACTGTCCTTAAGATTACCTACTGAATGAATGTGTGCTAGAGTGCATGCTTGGACAGCGTGCGTTACGTAAGCCTGAGAGTGAATGAGTCTCCGCTCACACACATCGCCTCGGCTCAACCCTTCTTCGGCTCAACAGCATAATGTGCTTAGCCATCTCCATCCCTCTGGCCCCTCTGTGCGCTGGAATCCCGCAAGAAAGCAGCCGGCTACAATTACCTCTTTGTCATGTTAGCTGGTGCCTCATGACATGAGGGAGATCAGAATAAGTGATGCTTCTGCACTACTGTCTTGAAGATAGAGATGTAGGCAGCGAATTTTTAAAAGAGGCATGTCTAAATTGCATACTAAACCTCCTTTACCTAGCTGGCAGTACACAAAAATAAACCGGCCAAGGTTTCAGTTGCACATGGCCTCTAGTGCTGGTATTCTTTCAGATGAAGCAGTGATGGTCAGCGGGCTTTTAGAGAAGAGAATTGGGACTGGACAATGTTTTTAGCTGATAAAAATGGCTGATTTCAAGGTTTTAAGGTTTCACAGAAAATATCTCTTTAAATGTAACACCTATAATGATAACCATACTAGGGCTGTTACAATTAATCACTTAAATTGATTACTAGATTAAAAAAAAATGAATCAATTAAATTGTACACGCTTAATTAATCAGCTTCGTGATTAGCAATTTGAATGATCCATAGTGTCTTATAATGCTGGTAACTTGATGCTAGCTGGATGTTAACAAAACACTGAAATGTCCATAGAAGCACTAGTGGAAATTAGCATTATAATACTGGTGGTAATAAGGCTGCTTATCTAGTGAGTCTTTCTTCTATAAAATGATACGCATGGCCGTGACACTGGCCCAAAGCAGCATTAAAGATTTCTTAAAATTGCATTTAAAGTGACTTTAAATTTGTTGAAATCTGCAGATACACTAAAAATGCACATTTTAAATTACATTACTGTTATCTCTGACAAGAAACAGAGGCTGATGAATTTGTGCATTTTTTGCCAGACAGTGTTTGATTTGTGTAGAAAGTATATTCAAAGCCTTCCTTTTTTAGCTTTATTTTAGAATCTTTGTAGGATCTGCATTGTATATTATTAATAAGCCCATTGTTTGAGCCCACAGATCACTTTATTAATTGGCAAAATAGTTGCTAGATTACTCAATTTCTTATATAACTGATAGTGACAGCCCTACACTGTACATGCTTACAGGCACTACTGGAACTCTTGATTGGCAGGTCAACATTGTGAGGCAGTTTAACATGTTATTTAAAACTTAGTTAAGTTTTAAGGTTAGGTTATAAGGTTATTTATGCATGTATAGAGTAAAATGCATGTAAGTCTATCCATATACAATCAGCAACTAAATTCTGTAAAAGGTTTCGGTGATTAACTGGGGATGTGTAGAGATCATTGTGTCAGAGTGGTGATCCTGATGTCCATGTCCTGAGTGAGGGAGCTGCCCACAGTCAGCTCTTAACTCTCTCACCCACTTTCACACAGCCAACATAGTGTGCCCAATTAGCTACTGCCCTACAGCTCTACTGTGCAGACATTGTGAAGCATATGTTATAGTGACAGAAACACACACACATGCACAATTTGCTTAAACGTTAGCGTCACCCCCCTTTCCGTAGCTTGGTTTTTAATTTCTAACCAGTTGCTTACATATTTGGTGGTGTATTTCAGAACCTGATGCACAGTTGTGCAATAAAATAATGTTTATTATAATTTCACATGAACATTAGAAACCACAGCCAACAGTCAATGTCAAGATTTTGTGTTTTCATCATCCTGGGGACATCTGGTCCACACAAAGAGCTAAATATATAGCCACACACACAAACACACACACTTGAAGTAAGATTTGAAATGCTGTTGGCTCTACCTTGGACGAGTAGGCGTGTGGTATGGATGGCCTCTCCCTGCACGCTGTAGGCCCTGCACGTGTACGCTCCTCTGTCCTCCCGGCTAATAGACAACACAGTCAGACTGCCATCACTCACCTGTGGACACACAGCATGCTCTCATCATCACTACACAAACACAACGGCTTCTTAGTGTACACCCAAGTGAACAATTGTCTGTTAACACTCAGCATATTTTTCGCTGTAGCGACAATTTCTCTTATCTCAAAATTTGTGCCTTTACAGCAGAAGGAAAAAAATGTTCTTAATTTTGAATGGAAGTTAATGGAACAAAATGTTTTTCTAAGTTATTCTGGAGCATTTCTAATGCTCTGTTTATCATACAATTTTAACACAGTATAAACGGCAGCTGGCATTTTCAAATTCTGAAAACAATTAAAAAATTCAAAAAGCAAGGTTTTGTTCCAACAGCAACAATATTCACAATCACTGCATATTGTATGTTAGGCTACCATTTGGTGTAAAATAAAATCCAAGTTCTTTGTTTTTTGCAGTTGCTTACAAGTTTTAAGTCTAAACATACATTGTTAAAAATAAATGGTTCCTGACATTAGGGAAAACCTTTCAATTAGTGTAGAACAGGTTTGTGATGGTTAACTGAGTTACCACAGCAACAGACCCCACTGACAGTAAAAACTCATTTACTAAGGACTAAAAAAAGTTTTGTTGTTTGTTCATTTATTGATTTATTTCATGCAAACCATAGCAAGACACTAGTATTCTCACATGTGAACATAACTGAACATTTAAACATGTTGGGTGAGGCAATATCTACATTAATACCAAATTTGTTGTATCTAACATAGATTCTACAAACACGGCTGTTGAGCTGCACTGGTTGAACACGCATAGGAAGCACTTTTTTCAATGTAAAACCAAAACTTTTCCTAAACTGTGTTAATGTTAAGTTCTTTTATTTCACAAGAAATTAAGCATCACACAATATCCCTGTGTTTGCTCCCACATCCACATCTTAGTTAGGAACAGTCACAAAATTATTGCTTTATTATTATTATTCTGTATTAAAGACCCCCTCAAAGTCACATCATTTACAAATATTGTTCTTTTAAGAACCATATAGTAAAAAAAAATCATTATAAAATCAGAAGTGGTTCTTTTATGGCCTTGCTCTGAGAACCCTTTCAGTATCATAACTTTTCAAGAGTGTATATTATAGTTTTTAGGAGTTTATATTGTGGTTTTTAGCACTTTATACACATCAACACTGCAAGGGTACAGGGGTATAATTTTCCATCATGAAACTTCATCAGAAGCAGCTATATTATATAAACAGCACAACTACATAACTTTCAGGTGTGTGTACAGTTTACCGCTTACAGTTTACAGTGCACCTGGCACATAAAATACTTTGTTACATGGTCCATATGTCCATATGTCAATGAAACATTTTGTAAAGAGCATTAGCCAAAATCACATGTCTGTCATTATATCGTAGCACAAAAAGGGCCCCACTGCCACGAGGCGGGGAGCAAAGAGAGCGAGACAGCATAGCTGAGATCAAACAAACCAGGCCACTCCATCAGAGACTTAAAGATCAACGTGCTCCTGTTCTCTCTCGCCTCGCGCCCACACATGCACCATTTCCTTTTTATTACTGCCCCCTCCTGCTGCCACTGCTACCACTGTACCACAGCTCTGAGACCACTCCCCCCTAATCAAACACACTCTGGAGTCTCCTGCCCGATCAGATACATTGGTCCCAGTAGAACTAGGAGGACCACTGCACATCTCCCAATACCCGATAATGAAGAGAACACTTACTACCATGACCTTTTCACTCCTGAATGGAATTCCTCTCAGAAGGCAATTAACAATTTATAGTAGTGTTAAATATGCTTGCGGAGATTCTTGTTAACCTACAAACTCTTTCAACACAAAGCATAAGACAGGCCATCATTATTTATCATTAAAGGCTTGCCTACACATGAAAGTCTTTCCAGTTCTTCTGCCCATTAAAATTACGACACTATCCTCTCGATGCCTCTTAAGCCCCAAGAGATTAATAAAAATTTGTGTTTCTGAGAGAACTTAGGTTGAGATTCTAAGCCATAGTGTATGAATTCATGGAAAGTGAGCAGATGTGGATCTGAATAATTGATTGATTTTAAATATACTCATGTTTCTGCTGCAAGTGGTGCAGATTGGGAGAGTGATGCCGATGCTAAACAAAACCACCTGTTTCTTTCTCTCTTTCTCTTCTCTATGTACATCCAACTTGCCTTCAGTTGATCTAAGACCTCTTCCATCGCACTCCAACCCTTAAAACCAACCCTCTGAGCACAAAGTATGCTTAGAGGAAAAACATCCCATCTTTGTGGCTGTCTCAGGCTCTGTAAATGGGTGAAAAATCATATGATGTGCACCACCAACATCCAACCAATCAGGACAGGAAGTCCCATGTTGCACATGCTCAGCGTACAGCGTACAGCATACCAGGGCTGTAACCACTTATTAGTTGGTTAATAATTATTAATAACAGCAGAGAAATCATTAAGTTGAATTTATCATTTTTTCTTTTGATTTTGTATGCATGAGAGCTCTGCGCTCTGATCTGAAACTCCAGCCCTGACAGCAGTGAGGGAACCAACATCATCTCAAGCAGCATTTTTCATTCTTAATTATACAGGGAGATTCACTCGAAAGAGGCCCCGAATATTCTGTTATAACTCTCGTTAGGATGAAGCAATCTGAACCAAAAAAATTTTCTACATACCTTGACATATGTGTAATTGACTGCATTACATACGATGCTGGAAGTGATCTCTGTTTTCTGCCAGACACATGAAGGAGTATGGGGAACTAGAAGTTGTTTCCTATCTCAATCTAACAAAAAGGAAGCTCTGAGGGATTCCAGGACTCTGAGAACCCCAACAAGGGTATAGTTAGCTAACTAGCTAGCTTCTATGTTAACAAATGCGTGTTAGTATCCGCTCGTCTCATTATATTATTTGTGACAACTGATTATACCAGCATTTAGTTGTTATTGTCTAGGCAGTATGTGTCTTTTGGGGAACATTGCTGTATTTGTTTGTCTGTTGAGTTCCAGAACATCTAGTTTCTGCCAAAGTTGGTGAGTGTGCTTTTAAGCAGAATCAGAGGAGAAACTGTGAAACTTGCGTCAGATTGGGATAAAAGGACACTGTTTTATGAGCAGAGGCCGCATTGTCCTCTTAAGACTCAGAGGACCATTACAGCTTTTCTCTATTTTTCCTGGACGGCTCTGTGACAACACTTGTTTAAAAATGCATGAGGGCCACTCTGGAATAGGCCCATGCAGGTGGAACTTGTTGTGTGGAAGCAGGACGAAGAGTAGACAGATCACATAGATTCACGTTTATGTAAGTCTCCGCTCGGGAAACAGGAAGTTTTCAGATAAATTATTCACCTCTACACCAGATTAGATGTTGGGAAAATACAGGCAAGCCACATATTTCACAAGCAGATGGATCAAGCAAGAGATGGATCAAGCATGTAAGATTGAGCATGCTGATCTACGATAAGCTCCCTGTGTTCATTTGACTAGATTCTTACTGATAAGCTTGACCTTTACTATGCAGTGTGTAATTTATTGTGTATATGTGTGTATGTTTGGGTTACACAATGTACTGTTTGTTTATTGGTAGCATTCTCCTGCAAGTGTGTTGAGTCGTCCATGACATTGCATTAGCAGCAGTTTGAAAAGATGCAGTGACTTGGAGAAAGTATGTCCTAGCCTTGTGGCACTGTGTGTCATAGATGGAGACCCAACAAGTGGGTGGAAATGGCCAGGACTACATGGGGAGAAAACTGGGTTAAAATCCCTCACCCCCCCCAAAAAGATTTGCTTTTGCAGTAATGATATCACAGAAGATTTCAACATGTAAATGAGCCATTTAATAAATCACAAAATACTTAATTGTGTTCTGTGAGCATCCTTAATGACATAAATAGCTTTTTGATGAGTGAAAAGATTCAAGTGAATCAAAAAACATGAATAATTTTGGAAATTCTGAAAGGTGTTTTAAATCTATTTCAAGGTAGTCCAGACAAAGTAAACAAGTTTGTGAGTGAAAGTAAAGACAGCTCTTGTAAAATATTACTCGATTAAAAGTAGAAAGTCATTTATTTATATTTCTACTTGTGTTAAGGTACAAAGTACGTACCTCTTATTTTGAGTCTTTGGTTTAGGTACTGGGTCATATACATTGTTAAAAATAATGGTACAATGTAAATGTACGCTTAAAGGTACAATAGTGGATTTAAGGTCCAACTGTGAAACTTAAATAATTTTTTTTCCAGTGGAAAAGTACATATTTGTACATTTTCAGAACCTAATGTTTTAAAACAGAACAATCCAATAAAAAGCCTCGAGATGACAGAGATGGAGTGTGTGGAGTCAATAAAACTTATAGTTTCAGTGGATTATGGTACAGTTATGTTCCCTGACTAAAGATACTGAGATGCACCCTTGAGGGTACCACCCCAGTGACAAGAGGGGTACTGCCCCAGTGACAGATACTGATAGTGTATCATGCTATCACTCCTCCATCAAAACTCTTGGATATTGTGTATCCCATTTACAAAGATCCCACACAACATCACAGGCTGTTGTTAAATTACAAAAGCTCGTCAGAGGTGCCCAGGCCTAGTTGCAGTTGCTAAGCTACAATTGGAAAATCAGTATGTACAGGTGTGAGTTAGTGAAAGATGCACTATGATTGGTCTGCTGAAATATGAAACTGCATCACATTCTTTTGGTTATTTTAATAATAAAATACAGTTTTCTGGTCACAGGTTCAAGTAATGACACATTTGTGCAGAACGAAGTGGAGTAAAGAGTAGGATATTTTACTCTGAAATGTAATGAAAGTCTCAAAAAAGATAGAATAGAAATACTTTAATAAAGCAGTCTAAAACAGTACATGTACTTCACTACTATCCATCACCGTTGCAAGGCATATCAAATTCACAATACATTCACAATATGGTATATTTTAGTTGAGTTCCTATAAAGGAGTGATATACACTTTTCATATCTCCAGAGCATTATATGTTCCTGCTTCACACAGCTCAGCTGG